TTTATTTTTTATGATCAATCAGATGCCCCCCCCCCTCTTCAACAATGTTTTATCCTGAAGTTGATCAATGCAACTCTGTTACGAAAACTTAATTGTTGATACTATCTTCATAATATATAGTTAAGCAATTATTTTAACGTCGCAAGCATCGGATAACAACTGGGTCGATCGAAACCTGTGGCGTGGGTGTCTTCTTATCACACCCATACACCCATACCACACCCTCAAGAACTGATTAACTATAAAAGAAAAAATACGTGAATTATTAAATTAAACACATTAATTTAATATAAAACCTTACTATATAAGAGAACACGAAAGAAGTGATCGAAGAAGTACGAATAAGACAATGTTCGGCACCCAGGCCGAACAGTACGGTCCGTATACGGTTACTTTGCGACTATTTTCCGGATGAAAATTTGCCGTAATATCTGGCGCAGTAATACGGACCGTATGATCAAGAGAGTACCGAGCACAAACAGCCGTAAACCATGAAAATTCAATCCCGTTTATGGCGCCGTATCACTGTGCCAGGTCTTACGGGTAAATACGGCCTATTTACTGCCGTAAATATACCGTTTTGACATCGTTTACCGTCGATAAACAGACTGTAAACGAATCCGTTTTGATCAACCTGGGCATATAAAAATTATCTTCTTCTTTTTCTTTTCACTTGTCTTTTAGTTTTTAATGATGATGCTTGTTCGATAATGTTAATATCACAAGTTCCATCTTCTGTTGATTTGGATATAGAAAATACTGTGACTGCAGTTGAATTCGATTGTATTGTATCTGATGGTACTCGAGATTTAATAAATACAACAAAAGAAGAATTTTCTGGAATGAAAGTTTTTAATATGATGCATCCACGTATAGAACATTCTTATTTTAAAGTTACAATCAATGATGATATAAAATATATACATAAACAGACTGCTTGGTGGTTATTAACTGGTGAAAAAGTAAAATGTCAAACGATCGACTGCTTCGAGTTATGGAGTCCATCGGGTCTGGCTCCGGATCCAGATTAAAAATATTTTTAGCTATTGGGTCAGATCACAAGAAACTTCTTACGCATATAATTGAGTGAAAAGGAAGCTGATGTTGTTGATGTTGAAGTTGTCTAAGTTAAGAAACAATATAAACATTTTAATACATTCATTCCTTATTCCATCCGAAGCTGCATACTACTAGCGAGTCGCTAGGAGTCAGAGTCCATTATAAATTAATTGTTAAAAGCTCTTTATTGGATAGTTGAAAGAGCGTGTAAGATGTACTACTTGCATGAAAAAAAAGGACAGAAATGCCGTGCCTCCGGAACGATAACCAGATTCAATTAGAAAATTTGATTACAAGTTTAAGAGTATGTTTTGTTCCAGATCTATTTTGGATTAATAAACTAGGTATTTGTCAAGAATCCAAGCTTAACTTTACGTTCAAGTTGAAAGAAGTATGATTAAAATTTGCATTCCAAAGAGGTAAAGTTCAAATAGATTCTTTCATTGAAAGAAATTTTTTGTTCAGAACTATTTGTGTTTCATCAAAAAATAATTTTAACAAAAGAAAGATTTTCAGAAAATATTTTTAAAATTTTGATTTTTTAGAAAGTTAAACTTAAAGATATGCTTGCTTTAGCTTTAAATTTAAAGATTAAAGTTGAGGCACGCTAAACCCCCTCCCACAATAGAAACCCCTCCTAAGAAAATAATCTGTTTTCTATAAGAACACCATTTTTCAAACTTCTGATAGCTTTTGCGTGATACAATTTGTTTGACCTACTAATATGGTAGGGGGTTTACTTCAATTTGAATAATTCTATCAGAGTAGTTTCAAAGTTTTAGTGTCATCACTAGTATGGGTTCAGACGCATTTGATGTACCGGGTCCGGGTCCGTGGTCCAAAAATTCTTGGACCCGATGGGTTCTACTTTGAGTATAACAGATTAATAAAAAAAGTTGATTGTTTTTGTTTTCGTTATATAATACTTTTTTCATTTATTTTCAATAGATGAACAGCGCTTTACTGACTTTCAATTCTTGAAATAAAGAATGTGCTGTATGAGAATAAAAAAAGATAATGTATGCTTTTATCCAAATTAAGACTAATAAAAATTTTACCTATTAGTTCACACGATACAAACAGAAAAAAATAGAAGTATTGAATTTTTATAATGGATTTCAAAAAAATAGGAAATCATTTTACGAGATTTCATGTAATTCCACTTGAATCCACTTGAATTCAAGGGACTGGATTCTGCTGCCCCCCACCCTGGTTAAACGACAGTTTCTTATAATTAGACAAATATCAATCAATTTTATGCTCTTGCATGGGAACTGAGAAATATCACCCTTTTCTCTTTGTCGCTTATAATACTATGGTATTCATATCAGTGGTGTCAAACATTTACGGTTGGATCTAGTCTATATTCTCTCCTTTAACCGACTGATTTTGGTAGCATGTTTGATCAAAAATAAGTCGTAATGCACATACGCATTAAATAATACACTACAAGGCAGAGAGAAACAGAGAAACTTGGAAGAGATTCGATAGAAAAAAAGACTGAATAGCCTTCTTGCTTTTACAGTTCTTTGTTTACACAATTCATTCACCAGAACTTCATGCTGCCTGCTTATGCATACGTACAGCCAAGAAACTTGATAATAATAATAAAACTTGACGGGCTTCGTTTTCTTTCGCTCGTTCGTTCGCTGCGCAGACATTTTTTCATAGCAACTCTTTCAAATTCAGCTAACATCCGACGGAATCGTTGAAGGACGAATGTTAGACGAGGCTACTCATTTTTTTCCTTCTCTCCGCGAAGAACGCCTGTGAGAACAGTTTTTATTTTTCAATGTGCAAAAAATACATTGTAAGAAAGGGTTATTTGACTATATTCATATGTTCTTATCTTCATACCTCTATTTCTAAATCTCTATTGAGACTCGGATTCAAAACTTCTGACGGGTAAATACAAAAATCTTGCATTCTTTTACACGTAGACCCTACTGATTCTGTTAATCTTCGTCTCTGCAACATAAAAAATACAAGGACTGCATGTGATCATCATCTTTCACTTTTTTCTCCGTTCTACTCATCATTAACACGAAAAATATTGTTTCATTTTTCAACAAAGGTGAGTATGTTTCGAAATTTATAAACTACAAACTGTTCGCAAAGTCAACAATTTTCAACACAAGTTTAGTTTAGAGGCAAAAAATAAGGTTTTTATAAGTCAATATCTGTGGAGCCTATCCAACCGAGACCATGGATTGTCGAGTCAAATTCCGATTAGAACCATGATAGGAGCCATACAAAAAATTTCGAGTTAGCTCACTCGTATTCTAGGTACGCGTACTTCACCATATGGAGGGAAAGATTGAGATAGTAGTAAATGACTCCGATGATACCCACATCATGGATAAAAGAACTACAGTACAGGTTCTTTATGATCGTTTGCATGTCAACATTCAAGTTACAGTTTCTTATGGTTCTCTCCAAGAAGAGAAAATAATTCAACACATTCTCTGTATGATTAAATGTGAATGACCATGGAGTCACTTTAATCTTAAACTAAGTGGCTATTTAACTAGGGGCTTCATGAACTCAGGAGTAAATAAACAATTGAATATGTGTATTTCTTTAAAATTCCGTCCGATGACTTTCATATTTTTATCACAAACACAGGTTTGGCTGTTCCAGATGAGTCATTTTTCTGTTAATTTGAAATAAATATAAATTAACACTCCTAGTCGTATAGCTCTCAGCACATTCTGTTTTAGACACCGATCTATTTTATATGCAATGTCGAGTGGAATCTTTCCGACCACTACATCAACTTCGCGAAATATGCGTCACGCGCCTACTAACCTAGCACTGCCCATTCAAGTACCCTCTTTAAAATGTGATACATGTGCGCAAAACGATGCAACAGCTCTATGTATCGGATGTTACGGCTCATTTTGTTTTGATTGTTTTATTAAACATCGTAAAAAGGTTTCAGAAGACTTTGGTAAATTAATTTATGAACATGACCTATTTGTAACATTGTTCAAAGCAAACTCATCGTCGGCATCAGCGGCAACAGCAACAGAGTCCACTAAAAAATTTGATCCTCTTCGTGTTCTAGCAGAAATTGACTCGTGGGAAGAAGATCTACGCACAAAACTTGAACGGATGGCCAATGAAGCTCGACAACAAGTCAAAGCTCGTGTTGACGATCGACACGATGAAATATTTAGAAGTTATCCAACAATAAAACAAAATTTTCATACAAAAGAGGAAGCAAAGCGGCATATTGAAAATGCACTACCGACTATTAAAAAAAAATTATGTGAAATCAATGATAGTATTGAAAATTTTCCTAGTACAATGTCACTCAATTTCCAATCGGAAGAAATTGATTTGAAAAAAACTGTCAAAGTGATTTCTACAAGAAATCCTAGTGGTACATCCGGTGTCAATAGAAAAGCATCAACAACAGGCACCATGAAAATGAAAGAATCCTTAAATTTCAATAATCTCGGTCAACCTCCATTTAAAAAAATTGAACATCTAGGTGGTGGCATGGCTATAGGTGCCTCTGATAAATTCATTGTTTATACGAATGAAAATGATTTATGTATGATCGAATTAACGAAAGAAAATCGTATCGTTATTCCGCTGAAAGGCGTCAATGATATATGCTGGTGTGCAGAATTCGATTATTTTGTTATCTTAACTGAAAAACGAGTATTCACGTTCGATCCAAATACGAGAGAACTCTATCACATAGATGAAATTAAATTATCAAGCAAAGGCGAGTTTTGGCGATGTACCTATGCAGGCAACACGAACACACTTTTATTGTGTTATTGGTCACGTGGCGGCTCACCCATTGAAGAATGGAAATTGACTAGTCCAGTAAGAACGAAATTGTGGCAAGCACCACAATCATGCGAAACAACAGAGACTATCCAGTGTATGCGTGTGTCATTGAACGGAAGTTACGTAGCTCTTACAATCAATAATGACGAACAGGATTACTTTACATTACGTGATAGAGACATGAAACAAATTCATCAAATACCATTGCGCGTAACTGACTGCTTCAGTTTTGTTTCTCTTCCGAATAACGCGTGGCTTCTTTCGATTCTGGCCTATCATAAGTTATTTTTAATCGAAAGCAATTATAATCTGTCTAAAATACAACAGACGGATCCGGATAAAGCATCAACACGAGGTATCGCAATATTAGGCGATAATATTGTAGCTGAAAGAACTGCATCAACCATCTGCTTTTTTAAGCTGTAGTTTTTTTTTAATTTAATAATATCTTTGAGGAAATGTATAAGCTTTGCTTTGCATAATCATACGCATAGAAATCGATTATTTTTATTCTAGAAAGTTGTACACTATTGATCTTTTATCTTCATATTAAGACTGCTTTCTAAGATGGCAACAACAGCTTCGCCGGCGTCCGTTCTCAGGTAAGATGCTCCATATTAGAGGTCTCCAGAATCCAGAATCGATGCACTCGATCCTAGACTAACAGGGCTCACATGTGCAAATTCATGGACTGGGAAGAAAACTGTTTGTTTATGCCTGATGGGCATCCTGAAACTTCTGACGAACCTAGCTGATCAGTTGAGCGGAGACATAGAGAGCGAGGAGGAGGAGGAGGAGGAGTGGCTTAGTCACCGGAACTAAACAAAGAACGTATTTGAAAGATCTCGTCAATGTAGACTCAGAGATCTTTCAGAGCGAGGGGTTGAGTCTCGCGAAGCTAATAAAACGCGTGTGTCAAAAATTTTCGCGATGGCTGACTCAAAGTTCTGTAGAAGAGTTCAGCTCGTCCCGCTTCACTGGATTCATGTACGGTTTGTACTACGGTTAAAGGCAGATGCAGGTGAATTTTGTTTTCTAGACCCTATCCTTTCAGTTTAGTGAATAAACCTTCGAAATGCGAAGGGCGCCACAAACGGTTGGTGTCGATGTGGTGAAAGAACAATTTGTGCCTACACCCTCGCCGACACTTAAAAATATTCCGTCATTCCATGGTTCCTTTTCTGAAAGAGACGACTATCTACATCAATTTGTTTTCGTTTTGTTTGTCTATACAACCATTCAGAAAGCAATGCATTCGTAACAAACAGGACCCTATGATAGTCTATTGTTCTTCGGAATCTGCTGTACGAGATAAATCTTGACCAGAGGTATTCGAAGGTAAAAAATCAACATGGAAATTGTAGTTTACCACTAGGTTTGCTATCTTTACAGAATGCTTTTCAAAAGAAAGCGGACAAATATCATGTTATGTTCAGAGAACATTTTTTTGCTCGAAATTACAGACGAGCAAGCACAAAACATGTTAAACGAGTAGTTAGTAGTAGCTCGAAGAGGCGTTTGCAACCGTTGGGAGACGTTTTAGCAGAAAGCCAAATAGAATTGAGGATTCTGACCGAGAACTGCACTCACTAGTGGTCTTAATGTATCACCGGCACTTCCAGTGGCGGTAATACACTCAGCAGCGCACAGTCCCACAACAGTGAAGTATATTTGAAAATGATGATAAGGTGTTAGTAATCGGAAACCTGAGAAACGAGTTTCGGATTTGAACGTCATTTTGTTCACGGACTGTGGATCACTTTTTATGCGATAAGATATTTAATTTGAAGTAGCTATTATCAGTGGCACTTGATGAAATTTTCTCGCAACTTTATCAAAAGCTATTGTGGCTACTACCTGCTTCAAAAAAAAAGCAGTGGGTACTACCTGTGTAAGACACTAAACTGGAATTTGACAGCTGTTTGTGGTGGAAAATTATTCAGATTCTCCCAACACACTGTTCTTTTTTAAATGGATAGTAGTTTCAATATCAGCTCCAATCTCAAATAATTCCAAATCAAGAACTGGAAAACATTCATCCTAATTTTTTTTCTTAGCATGTTCTTGATTAATTCTTGAAAAAAACGAAAACTGGCCATTTCCAACATTTCGATTCCATTTTAATCAGGCTTTGCAGAGAAGATCTTAGTAGTGTACGAGCAAAAGATAAAGGCGACGAGGAGCTGTTGTAATAGCTTCGAATCAGTGATTTTGTTATAGTAAGTTTCAAGGGAAATGTCTGATGTTTTGGTCGAGGATTCGGCTGCGATAACAAGAATCTAAAAAAGTATTACGCGATGTAGGCCATGATATTTTTAGTGGAAGGCTGTATGACTTTCTCTATACTCTGCTTTCAGAATTCAGCCAAACAAGGTCGAATGACTGGCGCGTTCCCTGTTGTATCGGGAACACTTTAAATATATATAGATTCTGTTATGCATCGATACATTCTCATTGTTCTTGTTTTTTTTCATTTTTAGTAACGGTACATTCTTTGCAATTGGAAATCCATTACTTGACATAAATGCAATAGTGGACTTGGAATTTCTTGAGAAGTTTGTTAATCTATATTAATTATCTTAGCACTACCCACTATTGACTTCATGTTTATATCATTTAGATATAAACTAGAAGCAAATGATGCCATATTAGCAACCCCTGAACACGAAGAATTGTAAGCTTTTAAAATAGTGGGACTTGAACAAACTATCAAATATCAATTTAATTTAGATTCCAAGAAATAAAACATCATAAGCAAGTTCAATTTTTCGCTGGCGGGTCAGCACAAAATATGATGCGTACAATAATTGTAAGTCATTTTAGTTTAGTTAAAATTGCATGTATAACAGAAACAAACAAAAAAAAAGATTGCGTTTTTAGTGGTTTTTACAAAAGCCAAAAGTAGCAGCGTATATGGGATGCGTTGGAAACGATGCTTCATTCGACAGATTACAAGAATTAGCTGATAGCGCTGGCTTAATAACTTCATATCAAATAAAGTCGGGATTCCCAACTGGAAAATGTGCTGTTTTGACTACAGAGCATAGCCGGTATGCAGAACGCGAAGTATTAGATGCAACTTTATTCAATAAGATATATTTGCTTTTTAGATCAATGGTTGCTAGTCTTGGAGCTGCACAACATTTCACTATCGACTATCTGGATATTCCTGAAAATCGGTTACTATTTGAAAATGCAAAAATAATATGTTGTGAAGTACGTACTTTGAGACACGAAACATCATTTACACATTTTTCTGTATTTGTATCGCTCCTGTAGGCATTCTTTATCCAATCATCTTTTGATTCACTATTGGAATTAGCTGAACATGCACATGAATACCAAAAAATCTTTTGCATCACATTATCATCAAAACATGTTGTGAAAAAACGAAATGGAAATCATCTGTTAACCGCATGGCCGTATGCAGACTATATATTTGGATATGAAGAAGTGAATGATAGTTTGCATTTTTCTTCGGAGACGTATTATTACAATAAAGTGTACAATTTTAGGAGACTAAATTATTTGCAAAAGAACATTTGCACATTCAAGTAAGCTGTTAGAATCTCTGATTTATGCTAGAGAGTGGCGGAGCGTCACAAAGCAGAGTGATACTCATAGTATTTTATCCTCTCCAGTGAACTGTTATAGAGCCCGATTGTTGATGAGTGTTGACGTATATATTGAGAAAGATCAAAAATTCACCGACCTTCCCTACAGACCGTGGCAAGTATAGTGATATCCTACTCCTTGGTTAGTGTCATTGATTGCAATCAATAGAGAGAGAGTCGCCGTGCACACTTGAAGCGACTCTATTGTGTCTCCCAATCCCATAGGGATTGCACTGGAAGTTTTTATTGAAGGATCAGACTAAATACAAATCTTCTTATTTAACCATACAAAGAAAAAAATCAATAGGAAAGAAGTCGTTCAGAAGTGTGGGAGTGTCCCTTCTCTTCAACAATACATCCACTCTCTTCGAATTCCACATTTCAGCACCAACGGGGCTACGTTGAGAATCTGGACCTTTGCCAATGATGAAATTCGTATCGGCAAACTTCCTACTACTGACTATGCTAGCAAAATTTTTGTCTTGTTTTGACCCGTGAGTCTCTAGTTTGTACTACTTTCTTATCCATTTATCTGTCTTTCTAGACAGATGATCTTCATGCGATAATTACTGCGTTGCTTGACATACCCAAGTTAAATAAATCCAGACCTCGTATTATTGTTATAAGCAGACTATTGGAACGCACATTAGTAGGAAAAGGTGAGACTATAATTTATATGAGTATTTTCTGTATTGAAAGTTTTTTAACTGTTGTTTTAGGAACAGAAATTACAGAATATACATGGAAATGGCCACCACATATAGTTGATACACATGGATGCGGAGAAGCATTTGTAGGAGGTATAGATGCCCTGACCTTTGTTTGGATCGAAAGTAATTGTTTTTGTGAAACACGACTGGAATGAGTATTGAAGCATATAACTAGAAAAGGTAAAATCCTTCACTCCGTTTCACAGACGACGACACACATTTGGACATGCTGTTCCTTAGATCTTATCAGGGATCGTGATCAATATGCACAGGGTCTTCGTGTAGAATTAAAAAGCGACTCCAACGTGTTTCACATTTTAATTCCGAAGGAATTGCACTGAGAGCTTTTCATGTTTGTTCAGGTTTTTTGGCATACATGGCATTAGAAAAGAGCACCGATGAATCTGTTAAAGCTGGAATATACTGTGCATACGAATGTCTACAACGAACTGGATGTACATTTCCAGATCGAGTTTCATATGACCCTGTGACATTTTGGAAATGAAATATGAACGAACTAACTGACTTTCAATATTTTTTTTGTTGATCATCGGAGAGTAAATAACAATATTAAAATTGCTACTATTACGCATTTAGAATTTGTTCTCGCTCAGTTGACACACAATATTACTTTTTTTTCCAATTACGGAAAGTTATTTCATTCGCACGGGGCTTGCTTGTAATTTTCATTATTTACTTTTGCTCTTCCACTTGTTTATGCAGAGGAACATTATTTTTAGTAACATAAAGTAATAAAATGTTCCTTTCTCTCACAGCAACAACACTAAGTGGAACTACAGAAAAGAAAGAAAAAAAGAAAACATTTTTCTGTGACTGCTCGAAATGGCAACAATATGAAATTTCATATTTCAATTTGTTTAAACGAGAATCTTTTACCTAATGGCGCAGTCGAAATATGCATCACGTAATGTTGATAATACATCTGAACTGAAACAAAATTTACGATATTCCGATATCGGTGATCTACCAGATCAAACACTATTACCAATAGATGGTTATCAACATCGTAAGCGTCTTCCGTTAGAATTAGCTTTGAAATCAGTTAAAGATCTATCAAATATCGATTCAAAAATTGAAACAGCTAAAGAAAACTGTCAACATCCGTCTGACGGTCTCACACGGGATGAATCAGCAGCTATTCAAATTTACACTATGGAATGGTCGCCACATAAAACATGTGTTTATTATTTGCTAAATCGAGCATTACGCTTAGAAAATCGTGAGCTTTTAAAGCCTTGGTTCAGCTATTTAAAATTGATATTATCAGGATTATATAAACTTGAATCGTTTAAAGGCACTGTTTGGCGCGGCGTTAAAGTCGATTTAAGTCAAGAATATCCAACGGGTGCAACATTTATTTGGTGGGGTTTCAGTTCGTGTACTCTCACTTTGGATATATTACAGTCAGAACAATTTCTCGGAACGACCGGTCCAAGAACACTGTTTAATATTTACTGCGAGAACGGAAAAGACATTCGATATCATTCATATATAAAAAGAGAAAATGAAATCCTATTATTACCGGGTAGAAAATTTCGAGTAGTAGGGAATGTTGAAATTGCGCCGCATGCACATATCATAGAATTGAAAGAAATAGTTCCGAAATTTCCGTTATTAGCTGATCCTACAGACACGTCCGAGATAATAGGTGAAGATGATGATGAGGGTGTCTTACAGTCGATGGGAACCTATGTTCAAGATATCATTCGAAAACGTCGTACTAGCTCTAGTATCGAAATTAATGGTCAGCAACTAAATGATCAAGATATAGAGTTGGTAGCAAATGAATTAAAATCGAATAGAAATTGGCTTACAATGGACTTGGCATCCAATTGTATCACTGATAGTAGTGTTAATTATCTTTGTGAAGGACTAAATAATAATTGTAAACTATCCGTGCTATACGTTTGCAATAATCGAATATCAGATCGTGGTACAAAATCAATTGCAGGAACATTACAAACGCAGCGCACATTAAAAGAATTAAGTTTAGCCAGGAATGGTATTACGGATCGTAGTTGTGGCGCATTGGCAGATATGTTAAAAGTGAATGAAGCATTAGAGAAACTTTTATTAAGTGAAAATGAAATTACGGATAAAGGAATACATCATATTTTATGCGCACTAACAATAAATGATAGTTTGAAAGAACTGGATCTTCGTACAAATCGGCTCACAGATAAATGTATTGATGATATTGTAGTAATGTTAGAAAAAAATTCTACATTAACAGCACTAAATTTACAAGATAATCATATAAGTGAACATGGTCAACAACGTATCGAAAAAGCGGCTCAAAAAAATAAGAATTTAACTGAATTACATCTTTGAGGCGGAAAGTTTGATGTTCAATGTTCATAAAAAAAAACTCTTTTGTATATTGTTTAATAAAAGAAATATTATTCTCTTTCGAAGAAATTCGCTTGAGGGTGTGGGGTGGGATGTGAATATAGATCTTCTCATCGCAGCCACATCCACCCTCAAGAGTAGTATCATAACCAATTTGATAAAGATCCCGTCCACATAACTTACGATAGTCGGCAGCAAGAAGCATACGTTCCATAGATAAGGATTTGAGATTGAGCCATCTGATATTATAATCACTGTGAGGCAGTGCTTTTAGAACAAAATCGATCAAGCATAATGTCAAACAATGAGATTAGGTCACGTAGAATTTGGTAGAGTAGTGTATTAATATCCATTAAAGAATTGAGCATTCCGACATTATTCAATTCTTCACAACTTATCAGACGCATTTTGCCAGATAAATCCATCAATCGAACGAATGAATATTTCATATTCATTTGTTCATTCGTCTTCATGCTTTTTGTCCCTAAGAAGGAATGAAAAAAAACGGAGAAAGGAAATATGTAGAAATATTAGTAGTAAGATGGCTCAACATTCTTAAAAAACTATTGACTTGAAATATTTCGAAGTTAACGAAAAACCCATTGTGATATATTCCATTCAATTCGAGAATAAGAACAATGAACCAATATCGTTTGTGAAATAAAAACGAAATTCATTACAACAAAACTAATCAGTGTTCAACAAACGTGTTGCTCCTATTGAAATGGATCTAAGTATAGGTTGTTTTTGCTAAGTTATTTGCTTCTCTGCTAAATACAACATAAGTATACTGAGTTTATCAAACTTGTCGCGCAGAAGAGCAGGATCGATGTCTTTGACATCATAGCTGAACGTACAAATAATTTGTTGATGCATGGCATCGCCGAGAAGGTCGTCCGAAAGATTGAGTAAATTAGCCACGGCATGATTGGGTAAAAAATCGTCCTGTATTCGATTGCGGGTGTGGTTGTATACATCGCCTGTTTATTAATACGCCCACACCCAAAACTGAGTTTTTCCATCGTAAGTGGATTCTCTGTTTTCATATCTACGAATGGGATGCTCATAATATCTTTCAATCGACAAGAAAGACGACACTGTAGCTAATTCAGATTAGCGTTGAAAAAACACCAAACTTTTGTTATAGGAATAGATCATAAATGTCTTTTAAAAACACGTTTACTGATATTTGCAAGGGGGAAAAACTGATTTCTGATACTAGAAATCACTGGAAATCACCAGAAATCACTAGAAATCACTGGAAATCACTGGAAATCACCAGAAATCGCTAGAAATCACTGGAAATCACTGGAAATCACTAGAAATCACTAGAAATCACTAGAACTGACTAGAAATCAAGAAATCAAGAAATCAGTTTTCCCCCCTTGGCTATTTGGTAATATATTATATTACTCAAAGTTAAACTAAAAATAAGTTATTTCAAAATCATTCTTTTTCTGTATTTTTCGTAAAAGAAAACGACTAATAGGATTCAAAAGTATGAAGCAATTATATCTCTACTTCAGAGTTTATTTGGGCAATTGATAAAGCTTTTCTCTCCTATGACAGAGAAATACTTCATTTGCACCCCGAGATCCACGTGAGACGGGATGGTCCCATCCCACGAGGCAGAATGACTTGATAAATACACTACATTTTTGGAGCGCAAAGCAAAGTCTTTGTCTGGCGTTGTCTGAATAGCATTAGATCCTGAAGAAGTTAAACGTCTTCTATTCATTCGGTCAATGGAAAATATGAAACTTGTAAAATGATGTGCAATTATAACTTTTCTATATTTTTAATATTTATTTTTTTCAATAGCGTCATAGTCTCATAGTTTCAAGTTCGATAAGCATTCAGATAAATTTGACGTTTAATATGATATATGATAATTCAGATGTTGTTTTTGTTTTAATAATTCGTTCCGAGCCATAAATGCATCTATCATTGCTTATATAGTGAAACAATCATTATAAGGAAAACTTTACTTTTCATTAATAGCCTTGATAGGATACAAAGATTGCGCTAAAAAAATTAATATTTACCCTTGTGAGAAAGAAAAATTATATTAATACACTCCGTTGAGGTATCAAACATAATTAAAAAACATGGACGGTTACGAAAGAGAAAAAAAACATTCATCACTAAAAAAAATAGTACAATTATAGAGTGAATACTGATCTTATACAACAAAAAAAAATTAATTTCAATACACAAGCAAGATGTTTGACGACACAGAAACATAATTAAGATAAGTCAACTGACGAGAAAAATATTCAATTGTTAATGTTTAACTCTTTTAGGTCTACCACTAGCATAATTATTTTCCACTGGTTTCTCATCAACTGGTTTCGTACTTGGACTCTCATCGTCACAAGCAGAACGTTTACCAGCAGAAGGTGTTGAAATAGTTTGTGATGGAAACATTATTTTATTAACACGAGCAGTATTATCATAATCATCAGCTAGCCAAGGATGTTCAAGTACACCATCTATTGTTAATCGTTTTACTGGATCAATACACATCATTTTTCTAATAAGATCTTTAACGGATTCAGAAACTTCAGACCAAAATTCATCAGGAAATGTATAAAGACCCTTGATGATTTGATCACTTAAAGGTGTTCCACTAATAGAATCATTAAAGGGTGGATAACCAACTAAGCAAAGAAAAACAATCAATTAATTCATGAAAATGAAACAAACTTCTCAAGCAAAAAGAAATAGTCTATCAAGTTGTTAATTAGGAAACACTTGCGCATAATAAACAAACGATTGTCTTACCTAAACAAATATACAAAATGACACCTAAACTCCAAACATCAACTTTATTAGAATAACTTCCTTCACCATGTGTAGATAAAACTTCAGGAGCTAAAACCAAAAAGCGAACGAATGCAATAGTAATATTAAATTTTATTCTCTTACCTAAATAATTCGGTGTACCACAAAATGTTTTCATTAGTGTTGTTTCATTGATAAACCTCGATAAACCAAAATCTGTTATTTTAACTAATGTTTCATTCGTATCTGGTGATGTTAAAAGAACATTTTCTGGTTTCAAATCACGATGTGTTATCGACTGATCATGTAAATATTTTACACCAAGGCACATCTGTCGAAACAGAAATTTCGTTGTCGATTCATCAAATTGCCCATTAGCTACAACACGATCAAATAATTCTCCACCTTCAACTAACTCAAGTACAATATAAACAGCATTCGGCGTATCATAAACATCATAAACACGAATAATACACGGATGGTCAAGTGCTCGCAAAATTGAACATTCCAATTCAATTTGTCGATTAAATGTATGTGCTTGAGCACCCAATAATGTAAAATGTTTTTTTGCAATAATTTTCATTGCAAATCGATCGCAAGTACCTGCAAGGAAAAAGAAATCATGGCTCAAGCTTAATTCAAAAACAAGCATTTCCTACCGCGAATAAAACACAATTTAACTTCACCATAAGCACCACGACCGATTTCTTTCGACAGAATGTATTTATCACGTACAGTCGGTGGTATGGTCGAGTCTTCTTTAGCATGCGTATCAATATACACATAAACACGATTTGTTTTCGATGCAAGAGCTATTTCAGCATTATTATCAAGTACGCGTCGTTTATTTTTACCAATTTTGTCACCGTTAACAAATGTTCCATTCGATGATAAATCTTGAATATAAACATAATTTTTTACAGTATCACGAATTATTTTGAAATGTACGGATGAATAGGTTGCAAACAATTTTGTTGCTTGAACTTCTTTTGAATCAATTATTATGGAACATTTTTTGCCGCGTCCCAATGAATATTCATCTTCAGTTAAATTTATTGATGGAAAATACTTATTAATGGATAGAAGTCGACCCCATATATCAGGTTTTTGAATATCGTCTTCTTCACATGGAGCACTATCTTCAATTTCATCGCATCCTTGTGTTATTTGGGTTGGTACTGGTTCAGCCTAATTGTTTAGATAAAAAAAACAACACATAAACACAATCAATACATAAGTACTCAAGATCTTACTGACCATCGAGTAGAAACACTTGTGCAATAGAAGAATATTGCACACAAATGAGTCAAGGTTGTACTATATATTCTCTCTTGTAAAGTAAATTATTGAATGCGTTGTCAAGCACCAATCAAACACGGTGTCAACACCGAATACGAGTGACATCTTTTTCTCTATGAAATATAATTCTTTTTAATTCTGACGATTTAAGCAAATACCTAATTGATCATTATTACTACTAAACAATACTTTCATATTCATAGAAATGATCTTTAGATCTTGATTTTAATTGTGTAATTGTATCAAAGATAGAAAAAACAATTCATAATCTTGTCGTTTTTTGGACGTGCCTGCACGCACATGTCATCCTTCAGAAGATTAAAAACTACTTCGCTGGAATTCTAATATGCAACGAAACTTCCCTGAAATGTTTATACGTGATCTTGAATCACATATGCAAGCAGTGAGATGCGGTTCACATTTTCATACGAATATTAATTTAAGATTAAATAGATAACATATCGTAGACAGCTACTATTTTTCTCTTTCAATTTTCATCAAGTATAACTTCATAAAAGTCAACTGTTGAACTCTTGTGAATTAGAAAACGTGTTTGATTAGATTCATTCACTTTTGTTCTGTTCATTTCACAAACAAACAAAAAACAATCATGAACAACACACTAATTTCACATGAAATAGAATCTATAACAACTATCATAGATTCTACCCCAAACAGTTATGATTCAACAGGTTCTATTTTATATATTGTTGTCGTTCTACTCTGGTATTCTATGGGTATTGTATGCATGTTAGGCATGCAAATAAAAGCATGCGATGAAACAGCTGGCGATTATCCTAAACGTCGAGCAAAATTTCTAATCGATACTCTTCGTGATCAAACGCAAACAAAAGAAATACTTGGTAGTATTCGTTCGTTCATAAGATCAATATTTTCTAGATTTTATCTTTCTTGTAGAAGAGCTTGTTGATAAACAAAAACGTGATAAACTTTGGGATATTTATCGAGGTCCAACAGATAACAATAATCATAAATTAAATCGTGACGAAACTCTTCGTATAAGAAACATAGAAAAACAATTAGCTGTTATAAATCAAAATCATCGACTTATCAATGAAAATCTAATATCACCAGCAATTTCGAATGATCGGATAAATTCCGATTCCGAGTCAATCATTATTCCTGATATATCATCAGTTGAAAATCGAGTTCGTGTTCGACGTCGTTCGTCATTAGATCAACAAATACTTGAACGATGGAAAACTGTTGTTGGACAATGTAAAACGCACGAACAACTACCATGGTCAATACAAAAATTGATGATTCGTCGACATTTTCGACGACATTATAAAACAATGTTACAAAAATCTGAGCAAATTCATGCATCAATGTATGAACAACCAGAATATATTGATAATCCTGATCATCATGCTATTCAAATGGATAAGGACGATTAATAATTATTATTATTATACAACGCTTGTTTTCATGTCGTGTTCGACTTTTGTATAGTTTAGTAGATTTCAAATACAAAAATAACGAAGCGTGAAAAATCTTGAATTTCTTTTTTTCTATGAAACACAGCTGATCATATAATGACGTCGGTTACGTTCGAAAAGGGCGAAAACCACGGTGACGAAATGTGGACACATTAAAAGAAAAGATAATACTTTGGTACAAGACGAACTCCTATTTTTTTACTTATCTTATCTTTTCATCACCTGATTTTTGTATTTAAAATGTATTTACATATATACATATCACATAACCTGAAATATGAAAAACAAATCATTTTACAAATAACAGCTTATTACGGTGAGAACTAGACTATTTTTTCCTACGCGCAGTATGTCTTCCATTTTGAAAACCAAAAATGCAGTTAAAAAACGAGATCATGTTCATCGGAAAGCCGTTGTTGCCACTTTAAAAATTTCAGGCAATGGTACAGGATCGATGCCTATGTGTAAACGATAAATTTTGGACTTTGACAGGCAGACCACCGAAATTTTCATTATGCAAACTAAATCTTTGATCATCCTTACAGCAGAAATAAATCAGCTTCTCAGATAAATGTACTCGTTAACCTCGAATTACACTGCCAATCGTCAGAATCTAAGTAGAAGGTAACTCGTGGAGTTTTTCATTACTCTGTCAATTGGTTTCAATAAAAACAAAAATAGATAGACCGACTTTTATTTTATTAGTCTATTCGAGAAATGTTTCCAAAACGTGTCATGACTGCTCTCATTATTTATGAAAAAGCAAAGAATATCGAACGATCAGAAAATTCCGACACGTTTTTAAGACTCATATTTTCTTGTTGTAATCTATTTATCATATTTATGAAAATTACTTTAGCATAAAACGCCACATAAAAACAATCAATATAAATGATATGACCCATTAAAAATTTCATATTCATCTGACAAAGTCCATGGATTTATCATTATTTATGAACCGTTATTATCTTCTACTTAAAACTCATTATTTGCTTTTCTATTCTGCTTATGGTGCAATAATTCCGATTTTAAATTTAACACTTCGTGCTCATGGTCTTTCGAACACAGAAATTTCCTATTCAAATATCATTCTTCCATTTTTAATCTTTTTTACAAGTCCACTACTCGGTTTTATTGCTGATCATTCACGTCGTTTTATTTTAACGTTCAATGTTATTTTAAGTATCACCATTTGTCTATTCCTAATCATGTTTTTCTTACCAACTGTTAAATCTCATCATATACAAGCTGATATGCGTCATGATAATCAACATGGATATCTATTAATTTTCTGTGCTAGTCAAGAAGTCGCAACAAAATGTGCAACGAGATCTGAATGCGGATGTTCCTATCAAGCAAGATGTGTACAAGATAAAACGGCATTTAATTTTACATTTACGATGAGTTCAATTTCAATAGAAAAAGATTTAAAAGATGATACTAAATCTACATGCGAAATCGATTATCGAGTACCTATCGAAGAGCCATTCATCAAAAGCCTGCCAGGTTAGTTTAGATCTGAATCGCAATATAAATATAGAATTCATATATCTATTAAGATGATAAATCATTTGAAGCTAAATGTGAAATAGTTTGTTCGATTCCATATTTTTGTCATGGTTTACGCTATCAACATCAAGTCATTTATGTTCTTCTTTATTCGCTTATTTATATTATTGGTTCAGCACTCCTATCGAATGCAAATGCTATCGGTGTATCAATTGGATTTTCTGTTTTAATCCGATCGGATTTAATCGGTAAACAACGCGTTTGGGGAACAATTGGATTTGGTCTTACAGCGTTTATTAGTAGTCGTCTTTATGGTGCATTTAAAAAAGAATCTGTCTATATTTGTATATTTATAATAATAGCTCTTCTGACAATTATTGTTACAAGTTTCATTTCTATAAAAAACGATGATGAAACAATAAAAAGAAATAAACAAACATTGAATTTATCAGCGCTCATTGCACTACTGACAGATTTCGATATTTTTATTTTTCTTTCCATTGCATTATTTTGGGGCATGTGCCATGGTTGCATGTATCCTGTAAGTTCGAAAATTTGAAGGGAAAAAAAAGAAATCTCTATTCTATTTTCTCCCTAGTTTGTGTATTTATATATTGATGAAATTGCTCCATGCCAATCACGGTCTATTGTCGGTTGGATGTCATTAGTGTCAGCATTATCGGAAGTTTTCGCGCTCTACATCGCTCGACGAATGCTGAAATTCTTTGGTACTAATATATCATCAATTATTATTTTTCTGGCATTTGCTGTACGATTTGGTGGATATTATTTTATACAACAACCTTATCACTTTATATTTGTGGAAGCAATGCATTTTTTCAATTTTGGAATTCTCTATGTTCTTATGGCTCAAAAAGCTGATTCGATTGGTTAGAATTTTGTTTTTAGTATTAACTTGTGTCTAGTTTATTTTTTTATAGCACCACCTGGTCTGTCCGGTACCCTTCAAGGTATTGCTCATGGCGTCTCGCATGGCTTAGGTAAGCTAGAATTTCTATGATTAGTCTTAGAAACTAAGAATCTGAAAAATGAGACAGCCGTTACTCATATTCTGAAGAAGAGAACTTCCGAAATGTCTACGATGATCAGTCGAACATTTTACGAAAATACATTAAAATCGTCTCTTTTTACGATTATGAAAAGAAAATGCCGTTGTTAATAGATGTGCAATTATTTTAGGTCGTGGTATTGGTTTGCTTATTTCGTCATTGATCTACATTGTTTTTCAAGAGCGCCTTCTCTTTCTTGTTTTTATGATACTCAACATTATTGCTGCGATTATTTATTCTATTTATTTTCTACTAAAATGGAGAAAGTCGTCTCATAAATCACTGACTTCATCGAATAATGATGACGATGAAGATGATGAAAAAAACAGAATTGAACTTACACTGGAATCAGGTATAGAAAAACAACGTTTTTGCTATAAAAATCGATTTAATTATTTTAATTTTAGATGAATCAATCAACAACGAATCCGTAGTATCTATATCAAGAATGAAAATTAACACTGACGATTCATAGCCAACATATCTTCCTGGTCTTTTTGTTAAATATTTTATTATTGTTTTTTTCTGTTGCTAGAAAAACAGTTTTTCCTTATCATCGTACTCAACATGACTCAATTATTCTTTTCAAATAACAATGATTTAAGTTCTCGAATTCGATCGAAATTAAATACGTCATATCAAATATTGAATTATGTTTCTTTTTGTATTTTCAAATATTTACCACGAAAAAAAAAGTACTAAAGAGAATATATTCTCGGACGCTTTAAGAAATAAAATAACGATATAAGCCGTCTATTTAATATAAAGTTTAATTACTAAAAAAACGTACAGATCTGTAATTGATACCATGTCAAGTTCGGTAGGCTTTTCTTCTTTACATTAGAACAGCATTAATTCATCTTGAAAGAATAAATTTCTAACATACAATACAATTCAAATCTTTTCTTTCTCCTTCCTTTTTTTGTGTCTGGCGTTAATCGAGACTTGTTACATTGAAAAAGAACTGCATACAGAATACAAAAAAAAGAAGTATATTCATATCGTGTCTGTTATCAGTTTATATTGATATTTTTTTTATGTATTAATCTATTTGACATTATATTCGAACGATATACGATTGTTATTTTTGAAACATTCTAACAAGACTCGTTAGTGGGCTCATGTACGTGTATTTCTTGAAATTCTTCATTTTCCAGTCTTATTCGATAAGGTCAGAATAATAAGTCAAAAATATGCAGATCAAAGTTCATATTTGGCTTCATTCTTTCTTTTCTTATATACACTTAGATAAGGGCCTTGTTAGATATACTACAAAATTTTTTTCTATACGAGCTCGCCACTCCTTTAAGAGATACGGAGCGGTTTTTTTTCATTTGTTCTGATTTGGAATAGAGTAAAGTATGACAAAAAGAAAAATAATAATAATCCGGATTCTACAAGGCTTCTATTCTTGCCTTTTCTCTATTTATGACATTTGTACATAATAGGATTCTTTATTAACTGGAAGTATATTTTATTTGTTTTCAAGATCTGAAAATAATTCGTGTCGAAAAAGAAGAAGCAGAAGAAGAAGAAGCAAAGAAAACAAAATGGAATCACCGTCGATGTTAGCACCGACTGTAAATGTCGTTCGTCGAAGATCGTCATTGCCATTCGTTCATCATTTTTATATTCTTTTAAAAGCACATTATTTTCTGTATTTTTCGGCATTTGGTATACTTTATCCAGTAATGAATATTACATTACGTGGCCGTGGTTTATCAACAACTGAATTATCATATATAAATATAATAATTCCATTCTTAGTCTTTTTTACAAATCCATTGCTGGGCTTTATTGCTGATCATTCACGCCGTTATTTATCAACATTTAATATTATTCTTGTAATTATTACGATCACATTTGCTGTTCAGTTCGTCTTACCTTCAGTCAAGTCACGTAATATAGAGGCTGAATTGGTTGAGATGCATTATGCTGATAAACATTCATACAAATTGAATTTTTGTGCTAGTCAAGAAGTAGCAACAAAATGTGCGTCAAGATCTCAATGCGGTTGTTCATATCAAGCAAATTGCACTTTTCATGATTCGATTAATGCTGAAGATTTCAATCAAACGCAGAAGTTTTCTCTGAAATTTACTATGAATGCAACGGATTTCACCATCAAGAAAAACGAGTTAAGCGATTTGAGTGAACTACAAGCATGTGGAATTAATTACCAGGTATCTGTTAATCCACCTCTGAACAAACGCACTCCAAGTGAGAGTTTAGGTAAATAAAATCTTTTTTTTTTATTGTTTAACTTAACAGAAGTTTTTCTACGCAGATCAGACTACGTCTGCCTTGGGCCCAACTAAATTAGCTGTTTGTGAAGTCACTTGTTCAATAGCACATTTTTGTCACGGATCACGTTATCCCAATCAGATGGGCTACATTCTTGTCTATTCACTGTTGTTTGTTCTTGGAGCAAGCCTTCTGCAAAACGCTATTGCATTAGGTGCGTCGATTGGTTTTGCTACTATCGATCGTCCTGAAATCTTTGGACAACAACGTATTTATGGTACGATTGGTTTCGGTGCTGCAGCATTTGGTGCTAGTCGTGTCTATGAATGGCTTCAAACCGAATATGTTTATATAATTATGTTTTGTATTGCAAATGTTTTGTGCATTTTTGTGACAAGTTTCATTCGTATTGAACCCGAAAAGTTAAATGACGGTACTGCAGTGGGTGAAAATATTGTTGACGACGACGATGACGACGAAATCAATGATCCGTCTACGAAGAAAGATAAAAAACCGAAGAAGAAAAGTTCTCTATTTGCATTATCAAAACTTGTTGTCCTATTGAAAAGAGGGGATGTTATTATTTTTCTAATTCTTTCATTTGCCTGGGGCATGTCTTATGCTGCTTTGGATCCGGTAAGAATTCCGATTGAAGTCATTATTTTTATTCGCGTGTTTTGTTTTTCAAATTGTTTAGTATTTATATTTATATATCGATGAAATAGAACCATGTAAATCCCGATCAATTGTTGGTCTGATGTCATTAGTATCATCCATAGCTGAAGTTTCTGCTCTTTATGTTGCGGGCAGAGTGCTTAAATTTTTGGGTACAAATGTAGCATCAATAATTATTTTTCTGGCATTTGCTGTACGATTCAGTGGCTATTATTTCATTACAGCACCTTATTATTTTATCTGTATGGAATCGATGCATTTTTTTAATTTTGGAATTCTTTATGTTTTAATGACTGAAAAAGCTGATTCAATTGGTAGATTTTTAATTATTAAATAGTTTGCATTTTCTTTTAAATTATTTTAGCGCCTGATGGCCTATCTGGTACTCTTCAGGGTGTTGCACTTGGAGTTTCGTTTGGTTTAGGTTTGAGATTGCTTTTCATTCGTTTCAGGCGTTGTTTTATTTATGTTTCTGTTGAACAGGTCGAGGTGCTGGTTTGCTAGCTGCATCATTTATTTATGCATTTACTCAACAGCCTACTCTTTTTCTCGTATTTGCCTTATTTAATTTAATCGCTGCCATCATCTATATTCTCGGTTATTTTATTGGCTGGCAAAGCTCGAAAAAGAATGAGAATGATAGGAATGCAAATAAAGGAAAAATTATGATTCAATCAGGTAAATGGTTATGGTTGATTTCTCTCCTATTGTTAATCGTTTTTCTATAGATACACCATTGAATGAAGAACCATTTTTGTTAACGTCAAAAGCAGACAAACAAACCAGTCAGGCGTAGACCGAAAACAGAAACTACAATATATAAATTCTTTTGGACAAGCAATTTTTCTTGACCATCAGATACATTTATAAGTAATGAAAAACGAAAAATGCGAGTTATTTTAAGCAATTTTTTGTTTTGTTCATTTTGTTTTTCATATTTTTACTGAGCACTATTTTATTCTAGTAGCTAAAAGAAAAAGAGAGATCCTAAACGAGCATGTTAGTCCTAGCTTTTGTTTTTATTAATAAAATATGTTTCACAATTTTGTGTTTTTCTATCAGATCAATATGTTCTTCTTTAAAACAACGATATATTTTTACATGACTCACATTTTATAAATAGACTTGTGATAAGACCGTTACATTTTCAGTCGAATTGAAATCAAGATTAATCCTATATGATGACTATACCATTGTAGGAGTTGATCACAACCGAAGGTAAAATAATAAAAAGATTTAAGTTTTAACATTCATGGTCATCCTATCGGTTACTCATATTGCTCGAAGATAACAGTCAGTTCTATTCTTTTTTTAGTTTAATACTAAATAAATATCAACGTTAAATTTTATCTGTATGTAAAACAAAGATTTCTGTTGATGACCGTCTGCTAAATAGTTACTTTTGATGGTCGATTTTATTTTCATAGGTGGTTGTCCTGGCAGTGGTAAGACCACAGTAAGTCGTCTTATTCAGAATACAAAACATGAGACATGGCCTATGATTGATTTTGGTTGTCTACGCGTATTTCATTTAAATCGTGAATGGACAAATCAAAATGATGACGAAGAACAAATGTCATTTGAAAATTTAATTTTTATTTTAAAAAATTATCATCGATATTCTTATCAGAATATTTTAATTAATGATCTAACTGATAAACGTCTTGGAGATTTATCAAACTATTTATCTCATGATGAATATAATTATTTAATTATTACGTTAGTTGTTAACGATTCTAATATATTGTCAACACGAATATTAAATCCAGATCGTGATAGTGGTTGGCGAAATGTGCACCGATCGATTGAATGGAATAACCAAATAAACGAACGAAAAACTTATAAAAACGAATTTATTTTAAATACTACATATCAAACAAAAGAAGAAACAATGGTTGAAATTTTCAAAATCTATGAAAAATTTCGCTTGAATAAATAAAAACAAATAATATCAATTGCTAGATTAATAACTGAGTCTATCATTTCTTGTTTGGATCAACAGATTGAATTGAATCATTGTTAATTTCAAAAATCCAATTTTTCTTAGGTGATGTCACACCATCAAATGGTGCTTTCAGTTCAATTGTTGATCCATCATATCGTCGAACAAGAACTAATTCAACAGTTTTGTGATATTTTGCATCGGATTCACTGTGTTGAAATTCACGTTCATCAATACGTTGTTCTTCACCTTTGCCGATTTCAATATCAGCCATTTCGATGTGATGATCTTCGATACCAGCGAATTGAATTCGAACATCAATTTCAGCATCGCTATTATTTTTAATTAAACATGAATAGATAGCTGCTGGTGAATGAACACCTGATCCAATAGTTGTACACATCTGCAACAGAATTAAACAGCTAACTATCTTTTAGCGAGAGAAAAATACTGAAATTCATCTTTGATAGAAGTTTAAAAGCACTTTTCCCACCATGCCAGTGAAATATCGTTTGCAATTCCCGCTGCAAATATCAAAAATAAATACGTAGATAACATTAAGATATGAAAATTTACAGTATATCTTGACACTCGCGAAAGCGGTGTAAATATAAATAAAGTATAGAGTTGATAGGGAACAGTTTACTAATTCAAGCAAAAATTTTTTCAAGTGAGAGACGAACACTATTGAACGAACAAAAAGTACGACTTTTGTGTTCGATATGAAGATGTCGCTACATTATGATACTTGTTTTATTTAGATATAATAAATTTTTAAAATATCGGCTTTAGTGGCGGAGCCAGAGGGGGAGCTTGGGGGAACTGAGCTCCCTCTAGAAAATTTTGTCACTATTTAGGCTGTCAAACTTTCTTTACTAAATAATTTCAATGCAAATACTAGAAGCTAGCATAGCCGTTTGCCTATTTTGAATCGACTAAGAAGAACTTAGTACCTTTTTTCTCTTCATTTTTTATGAGCAAGTCTTTCAAGTAATTCTGTCGATACCAATTATAAATCACTTTGATCAAAGGTGCTGTCACATTTCCTGTGTCGTCCGTCGTATGTGAAAGATCGTCTTCCAGGATGAAATTGATTAAAAATTATGCTCGAAATTCGATGAGTGATGAAAGACTTGGTGATCTTAGTGTATTGGCTATTGAAAGAGAATTTGACATAGATTTTGAAAAGGTTATTGGTGTATTTACCATACAACATAAAAATAGTCGAATTTTGTTAATGTAATTAAGTGATATGAAATATATTTAAATATAGAATCCCATCCATATGTTGATATAAATATATATGCTTATAAATATATGAGCAAGAACTGATTGAGTAAGATATGAGGACTCAGAAAACTGACTCAAACATGACAATTTTCAAAAAAAAAAGCTTTTACTATCGTAAGTAGACTTTGAATAATTAAGATGGTGCTGAGCTCTCCCTAGACTGAAATCCTGGTGCCGCCACTAATCGGCTTATGTCGTTGTTAAAACCTGCTTCTGCTGAAAATTTTAAATCAAAGCAGTTTGAATTTTGCACGTAAGGGACTATTGCAATAATGAGTGAGGATATATTTTATATTTTTATTTCGAAATTAGAGTTTCTTGTGTTCACTCATCATGCTAATCAACGAGAGACTAGCGGTCAACATTATTACATTGATTTTTGTGTGTTACACATCAGTCCCTGCCGTTTTTCTTTTTTGTGATGTATACGTCATATCTAACGGTTGCCCATGATACAGTCTTTTTATGTTCTCTTCATTTGTATCTCATTGAAAATGGTTGCTGACTTTCTGATGGCCATAAAAAAATGTCAAATCTGAAGTATATTTTTTACAACACTCTAACCATATGAAGGAGAATGTTCCTCTTTCAGAATACTACAAGTTGTAGCCTACTGTCTGAAAGACTGCAATAAAATTTATTACAATAGACACACGATAATAAAACTCTTCGCTTGACCGCACTTTGACACAAATATTTTTATTTGTCCAAATGTGATTCGATTATTGAAGTTCAAGTGGGGACCTCATATAACTTCATACTATAAAACATCTAATCAGACACTTTGCTCATTTCAAGTTTACCGTATATATCGTGCTTCACAATTTCAAAATTCATTCATTTGTATACGAAATCAATTGAAAAGTCAATAGATTCCTACTAGACAGACTTCTATTTTTTTCCGAATGATCATAATATAACTTCATATCAATATAAAATAATAGTTAGAAATATAAACCTTTCAAAAGAGTGAACAAGCGTCAATATAATAAGCGTTTATTTATCAAACACATCAAATTCAAATAATCTTTATAACTCCTTTATGTGTTTTAAAATATACAGAATTTTTATTAACGGTATATACTGTATTTTTTTTACAAAGATTGTAAATGTTTTATTGTAGATTTATGACATGAAATCGAATATCGAGCTAAATTGAAAAAAGGATTCTATGACTAATCTATTCAGTATCGCTCATAAATGAATAAAGAATCAAAGAAAGCTGAGAAGTTATTAATTGAGTCATTAGAATCATGTAACAGACAGTTAATAAATTAGAGAACTGTGCATCTCAGTTTTCCTCCAGTCAAACCCTGACCCAAAACTCGATCGGTTTCAATTTGGCCATGTCGCTCCCTAAAGTATTCACATGTTCTTTTTCTAATTGAATATCTCGCTGAATAATATTCGATATGCGAGAATAAGTGCGTCATAAACGTTAACACCGATGATAATTTATCGATATCCTTTTGAACTTCATGCTATTCCAGAAATATACTACAATATTTTTAAGAGACAACAATACAAAATGAATGTAATGCTATTCTACGTTAAAATAATATCCATATCAATATTTCTTAATTATTTCATGAATAGTATATATATACGAGCCTGAAAGCCATGAAATCTTAATGCTGTTGTATCACGTAGAATAAATTTGACTCAGTTGCTTTTAGATACTTTCACTTTTTCATAGGCTTGATAGACAAATATCGGAGCCATTTTTCTATGCTACACAATGCACAATAGAAACGCATAAACTAACAATATATAAACAAAGAAATGAAACAAAAAAGGATAGCTTATATTTTCTAGCACTAAATTCGAAATATCACTTTAAACCTTTGTATATATATCAATGACGCAAAAGAGGAAGTGGGTGTATGTCAATAGCATGATTGGAAAGTAAACCTGTAATGTAATGAGTAATGAAGACATGATAAATTGTACAATAGTATTTCTTTGACGGCAGTCAACTACAATAAAAGTGCTCTTATCTTTACAACTAAACCTACACAATTCTGATATTCAGTTTTAAATCAACCTCCTATATATACACATATAAGCTTTGATGGTGCTCACAGTAGAAAGCACTTTTCATAGACGCAAGCTCTATCATACATTACCAATATGCATTCACAAGTATCAAACGCTGCTATATCTTCAGGTGAACAGAGTCGCAAGGTTATACTGCTAGCAATAGGCATAATTGCTGTGTTTGGAATAATTACATTCGCTCTTGCAGCTGCCACTCTTGGTACTCTCAATAAACGATATAGTAATATCGAACGTAGTTTAGAAGGACTGACGAATACAGTGAACAAAATCAGTGAACAACTCTCTTCAACCACCGGAACGAGCGGAACATTCACCCCTCAGTCTACAACGACAATGGCAGGATCTACGACCACACCGCAGCCTGTCATAACAACGACAGGGCCTCCCATCACAACTACACGGTCTACCACTACCACTACAACTACAGAGCCTACCACCACAACTACACGGTCTACCACAACAACGACAGGGTCTACGACCACAACTACAGGGCCTACCACCACAACGACAGGGCCTACCACCACAACTGGAGAGTCTACGACCACAACTACAGGGCCTTCCACGACAACTACAGAGTCTACTACTACAACTACGACGGCTACCACCACAACTACAGAGACAACCACCACAACTACAGAGACTACCACCACAACTACATAGCCTTTCATCGCAATTGCATAGTCTACCACGGCAATTACGCAATTCGACAGTCTACTGCTATTGTAGGTTACCAATTGTGGCCAGTTGAACTTAGAAACATACTATAATCGAACATAGCCTGCGTATTTACTCTGTGTCTCATCTTTATCTTTTTGATATTCTCTTATTCTACTGCTTTTGATGTTCTCTTATTCTACTGCTTTTGATGTTCTCTTATTCTACTGCTTTTGATGTTCTCTTATTCTACTGCTTTCTCATCTGCTAATTCTTTCTGTACTGAAAACGTCAATTTCAATTTCACAAATAAACTATTCACAACTCAATTAATTTCAAAATCAGCAAAGATGCACATTCATTTTCGATTTGATTCATGTTTCAGGCTGCTGTACTAGAGAATCAGGGAGAAAATATTCATGTCATGAGACAAACGAAGGCAATCGTATGTTTACATCATAGAGCCGTGTTAGATCATTCTGAATAAACATATTTACTATTATATTGACACATAGCAGTCGATACATTTGTCGTTGTATCTTTTGAGGGTTTCTATGGAGTATATTAAATTCTGCTTAGTTATCTTTTCCTAAAAAAAGATGTGATAATGATAAATTCATCAAGTCGCTTCAATTAAAATAGTCGACCCATAATTTTGTTTGTAACAGCGTGCACCGAATGTTGTATATCACGATATACTTCTTTCATCAAAATTCAGTGATTAAAATCTGTCTATTCTCGGTACTGATTGTCTAGTGGGTTATATAAATCACAAATTTGGAAAGAGTCGTGAAGCGTCATATGGATGGCGGATTCAGATTATAGTTTATACTGTATGAGATTTTTCGATTCTTTAAATCGAATTTCTATTGCATTACGTATGTAATTTTCAGTTACGTGGCAAAGTGAAACTGTTGATGAAATAGCTATTTTTATGCAGCCTCTAATGGAAAAAGTTGGTTTTGTACAAACAAAGCCGGTTCCATGACATAGACGAAAACCTTTTCGGAACTTTTTTCTGAGTAAAATTTGAATCTGTTTGAAGGTGTTTGATAAAATCACTGAATCGTTATTGTATAAAAATATTGGTAGATCATTTCTCACTCATATTTCCTATTGAATGAAGAAGCTAACGGACTGAAACAATAGCATAGGATTATTAATGTTTACGATGTATATATTTAAATAATTCAGCAGAAAATTGTTTTTTCAAACAATCAGCTAAACATATATTCTTTCAATATGCCGTGTAAAGATTTTGCCACGAATAAGAAGGACATGCTAAAGACTGAATCGATTATCCTTATCTCAAGCAACGAATATTTACTTCTCACTAGTTGTAAATTTTATCACGTATCCTACTAGGATACGCATATTGAAAACAGAAAGATTTGTTTCAATTGATGTGTATATGTTCGTAGTTACTGTACCATCTGTGAGTTTGAAGTTGAGGATAAGGATGAATAAAATTATCTTATCTGGCTTCGTTGTTCTGTGAGAAAATACTAGTGGAAGATGCATAGAGAGAACGGTAGTAACGGTAGGCTTGCAATTTTCTTTATTAATAAAGAGATTTTACCATACGATGAGAAAGCCATTCTACCTCTTAAAGACCAATCAAACAACATGATAGAATTTAACACTCATTTTTTTATTATTTTCTTTTCGACATTGTCGGCACCATTCTATAACTTTATACGCGCATAAAAGGAAAGGTGAAAATATAAACTTTTCAGAAGTGCTGATAAGTCTCATGATGATAAACTCTGATTAGACAAAGACATTTAGGAGTAAAATTGTTTTTTTATAAAAATCTTTCTCTGCTCTAAAGATGCAGATGTTTTCTTTTATATTTCATTTTTACAATGAACTTCAATATTTTATTGCAGATTTATGAGAGAAAAATCATATAACTAGATTAACTGAAAAGAGAATGCTTTATTGCTAATCCTCTCGCCATTGCTCGTAAATGAATAAAACATTTAAGAAAATCGTGATATAGATAAAAGTAGATTACGATTATGTTTGTTCTCCGAAAGATGAATGGCTGTTTTTCAATTGTTTCGTTAGAGACTGAGATATTGGCATACTCTATTTTACAGTTTATGAAGGAATATTTTTTCAAATAAGTATGTCATTGAATAATCTATTGTTTCAGAATAGAATATTCATCGGAATGATTAAGATAGAGGTTATTACTTTGTTGAGAACACTTTTTTTGGTATGAGATAAATGTTTTTCGTGACGATCGTAATTGATAAGGTCTTTTCATTTTATGAATTGTTTATCGCACTTTGTTTCGATCTTAGGTATATATGATAATTAGTTTTAAAAATAAAATGTGCCATAAATCCCAACTAAAACTATATACTTTATCGATACAAAATGAAATTAACTTTTCTTCACTAATATATTTTTTAAATCTTTCGAGGACACTAGTATCGATATTTTTCAATTATATTTTCATCAAACATTCATATTGATGTCTAGCAGTCATGAAATCTTATGTCACCGTAGCAAGTAGACAAACCAACGTCTGCTTAACTATTTTTACAGTCTTTCACTTTGGCAAAAATTGCCCTCGGCCGATGGGCGATTCAGAGATTTTCTACACTTTAAACAAAGATATCAGATTCATCTTGTCTATGCTACTCAAAAGAAAACAAAAAATAAGTGAAAAGTAAGACTAGATAGAGTTACCTCCATTTCTATTGAAACATTTCTAAAAAACAGAAAAAAATAAATGTTACTCTTTTTTATGATACTTTCTTACACACAACTCTTCAAACACTTTTGTACATCAATATATGAATCAGAACAAAACAAGAGACGTTGCCAACATCTTGAATGAAAAATAAAATTGTAAAGCAATGAGTAACAAAGATAAGAAGAATATTATGTTAGTATATTTCTACATGTATTTACTTGTCTTACGAAAGTCAGGCACAATAAAGCTACTATTATCTTTACAAATATACCTACGCAATCCTGATATTCAGTTTCGAAGCGTCTACATATATATACATGCATCCATAAAATTTGTTGGTATTCTGCGTGAAAAACATTTTAGAAAGCCACAAGCTTTATCAAACATCACCAATAAATACTCTGAAGCATTAAAGCCGATTATGCCGGGAGGACAAGATCGAAGTAACGTGCGTGTCATGATTGGATTAGCTGTAATTGTTCTATTTGGAATAATTACTTTCGCCCTTGCAGCTGCCACTCTCGGCACTCTCAACAGACGAACCAGTAATCTGGATAAAAAAATGGGCAGTATTCAAGATGAAATGCGCACGTTGCTTGACCAATTTTCCACAAAAGCACCAGCCCCAGCACCCCAACAACTACAGCAACTGCAACAACGGCAGCAAATCCAGCAATTATGGCAGTCGCATAACATTGAAACTCCCTAGAAAAAACAATCATGGCGTAAACTATGGCAATCAGTAGTACGATTTCGGCACTCAAGCCAGATCAATGACGCTTGTTCTTCAAACATTTCATGTATCTGTTGTATTCTCATCTTCTCACTTTTTTTAAAACTCGTCTGCATCCAAGTTCTACTGCTTTTCAAATAATGATTTTACACATCGAATGAATTCATAATCATTCACAGCCTTTTCTTTCACGAGCGCTCAATTCAATCATTCATATACTCAACTAAAGAGACGAGTAGTCGTAGAGTCCAAATATATTTGACGAGAATAACAATACATTTTATCAATACTAAATTTGGATAAGCTCAGGTTTTGCCGGAATATCTTTGCTTTCACTGAAATACATTAATCCGAATTTATGCCCATGAGACAACTAGACAAAAGGAAATATACCGTAGATGTGACAATTTTTGGTCAAAAATTTTGAAATGAACAAATTCAAAACAAAAAGTCAACTGCTAGCAGTTGAAATATTCGCTAGTGGCTCTTTTTGAATGCTCTATCGCACGTCATCTACTTGCTGAGAAAACTTTTTCTATTAAACACAAAGTAGTGAAATGCGCAAAAATAAGATGTTTACGCGCTTATCTTGATTTGGAAAATACGCGATAAAAATAAAATCTTTATTTAATATTATCAGTATGATTGGCGAACTGTATATGTTATGTATATCGAAGCATTTATCAGATATCTGAGGGCGTCCATACAAAACATTCAACAAATAATAGAATATAAAATAATAAAAATCTCAAGAGAATATCTTTTTTGACTTCTGTCAATAACAAAGGTAGATAAAACATTTAACTGCCATATCGATCACAAACGAAAATAACTTGCCACTCATAGACAATTTATGATTGTTTTCAGTTAATTTCAGCTAGAAGGAGCTAGCCATACATAGAGATTTTGCTTTTATACTTTTTTTTTGCAAAAGAACATTTTTTGTGAAAAATTATAGTTTCGTTTTATCAGACGTAACGACAGCAAATTAAGTATTTTTCTTGAAATTTTGCGATGACTCTTTTTCCTAGTAAATGCGTAAAATCAGTGAGAGTGCATGAAAATAGTCTGGAGCAATTGGAGTTTTTAGAAACTTCTTTGAAAGGATGATCGAAAAATTCAAAAGATCTTTTGCTGTTGAATGTTTCCAACTGAATTCAAAAAAGAAAACTAGATTAATAAACAGAATAAGATTACTTGGTAGACGGTGCAATGAACTCTCCGAAATGCTCAGTTTGAAATTTGTTCAACGTGATTGGTACTAATAACAATTCGAACAAGAGAAGCCAGCGAAAGAGACTAAAGCTGAATCTTTGTATTTCTATTAAAAATTATTTGGCATTGAGAATGCAACGGGGAAGCGTGAACTTAAAGTTACTTCAAAACTACTTGGATGCACTTTTTGACTGCAAGTCCGTTGTTTCACCGTTGGATCTTCGTCAATCAGTCATCGCATCAATTTTTTCAGAGAAATTCTTTCAGTCATTATCGACAAGATAGGAATGATTTTTGCCGAGTTATCAAGTGCTACTAGTCCTCTTGTGGCTTTACTACTCGCTGCCATCCATGTGATCTATTCGCTGCGATGATTTTCATAACTATTTTGTTTTTAAATTTTGCATGAAAGTAAAATGGAGAACAATCGCGAATAATTTCGTTCTATTTTGATATTTACGGTCAGTGAAGGACGTATAATTGGTCAGATATTTGAACATCTCTCGATACAGTGACATGCTGCAAATCATTCAACTACCCAGAGAATAAAAAAATGAAAACAATTTCGTGATTTCAATTATATGACAAAAACCTAAATCCTCCCACTGATTTCATTACTTTAACATCATGTTTATCAGATGATCATGATTATTTCGAAAGCATGAAAATCATTTTATTACTCTGACTATTCGAGAGGATGAAAGTCATTTCACTAGTTTGAGTTTTGGACACTATGTAAATCACATGAGTTTGTGTAATCTTCAAAAACCAAAGGAAGTCTATTTTATTCTTTTTTCTAGCATTATTGTCGCGTGATTATTTTCATGTTGCTTAAACATTATCATCATCGCATTGTTATCATTGTTTTTACATTATTTTCATTTCATGAATTTCATTATTGTTCAGAAATTAAATTTACTGCAGCTATCTGATGGCATTTACACCATTTAAATGGTTACTTTCAAATAATCATAGTTTCCCTGTCTGTAAATGTGGTCTTGAGAATATAACGTAAAGTGCAGGGTGGCCAGATCAAAAATTGAAAAATCAGAAAATGGCAATTTTTGGCAAATTCGTATATCTTCCGCTAAAATACTGGTATCCAAAGTTCTGCTGCATTTCTGTTCATTGACTGAAACTTTATTTTCAAAGATATTCCAATAAAACGAAAGGCAATATAGTGAATATATCGTTTAGCTAATGCGAAGGCATCAATAAAAGATACTTAATGTTGAGCTTCGTTTTAAATTTAAAACTCGTTCACAAAAACGAGCAAAACTAAACCACATACATTCCGCGTAGATTAAGAAATCCAACGAGAAAAAAAACGTTAAATTCCATCATCCCGGTGTTGTTATTCTTATTTCGCATCTTTTGGGATTTTCTCTAGGAAGTTTGTTTAAGATAACATATTCTAATAAAACCTTCTCAAGAATAATTACCATTCATTTTTATTTTAAGTTAAGTATTATCAGGTTTTATATTATCGGATTACGATAATCGGACTATAAATTTTTCATACGACCGAAAATAAATTCAACGCCAGAATTCGAACGAGGAATGTAAAAGATGATTAATAGAGAAAATTGATGAAACGCTATTGATTTACTATAGTAATGGGTTATAATCGTACCTAATTTCAGTGGCAAAGCAGGATCTAAATATATTCCAAATTCAGAAAAAAAAACAGAAGATCAGAAAAGAATCAGAAACATGTTCAAAATGCAGAAATTTGGCCTATTTTTCAGAAGATCTGGCCATCCTGGTAAGGTGTGATGACAAAAGTGATGTCGTGCGCTAGATCTAACTACATTTGGATAAGAATTTGTCGAAATTATACACTCTGCACTTAGCAAGATTTTGCGTCGCAGAGAGGACTGATAAAGTTCATTGCGCAGCCCCTCGAAGGGCAATCGTTGCTATATTTAGTAATGTCGTGGCAAGTTGAAGCTGTCGGGAATTAGATTCTTAGTGTATCTAACGTCATATTAATGCGAACGGATGTGGATTAGCTGTCTAATTCGAGTTCGAATATAAATGGAGAAAAGAAAAAGTTAAACTAAAACTAAATCTATTCTTAGATTTAGTTTTGGTTTAACTTTCCGATATATGCGACATATGAATACATATATACCCTTTCACCTGCACCCACATTTGAGTACTCCTCCATGGTATCCATCACCCACAACCACGTTTGAAGTATCCTGGATACTCCCCCTCTGCACCCCTTCCGGGTACCCTTCGCCCACACCCACACCCTTTGGTATGGATTTTATGTTATTAGTGTGTTTCTAATCATTTTCATCGGATGATTGCCATGAAAGTTTTCTGATTTTCATGAAATGAAATCTTCGAAATTCATTGCCGAATTAAAAATACATGCATTAAAGTGCCCATTTCATTCTGAAAAATGCCATTTTTTTCATTTTCGGCATCATTTCTTCCAGCAAAAAGTTTTATTAAAATGATGAAATTTACATCATTTTTTGCCATTTTTTTATTCCATGGAATATCACTTTACATTGATAGTATCATAAAAAAAGACTTATGTGAATTGACTTAGCACCAAAGCATGCAAAAATAAGAATGATCTTAATTATCATTTACTTTCCATCACACATTCGTAAAATACAGATCCAAATGAGTAGCATCCTATAAAAGAGTAAATTTCGCATAGATTTATTTTTCTGCTTTCTTTTTCTTGATTATCTACAATAACAAAAAGTACATATATATATTACCATGATAATTTATTATCAGTGCGGGATATTTTTGTAACGTAATTTTACTGGTTAAACATCTCTAAGCGTTTTGTTTTTGTTGGCTCTCACTATTTGGGTGATAGTCATTACGTCTATTTACAACGAATTAAGTATTTCGAAATAAAATATCAGCAAAAGGAGAGCAGTGAATAGGGCAAGGTAATAAAAATAGAATATTAGTAAGAAAAAGTTACGCGTGTGCGTCATTGCGATGTCATAATATGAAAGTTCCAAGAAAGAAACCATATATGAATCATTGAGTTTAGCGTACCAATTTCATGATATTCATGCATAGTTGTTTCACATGTATAAAATAGATAATTACTACATAAGACTTCAAAACTTCCTATGCTACGATTGCTAATGATGAAAAACGAATTCATGGATCTATAAAATCAACTATATGGCCGCGCTAATCCGTTTTTGTTGCTATTCAATAGCAAATTTATAGACTACTCGAAGTCAAAGTACATATTTCATCTATGAAGAACATGATATTTGTTTATTTGGAGTGGTATGAATATAAATCTTCCTTAATACTTAAAGTTAACAATCTGCATATCCGGTGAAAAGAATAAGGGATCATCTTTGCTTTGAATGAAACATGAAACTTTGGTAGCAGAAAAAAAGAAAAGAGTATTAGTAATAATGAGGTTCGCACACTAAAATTTTGTTCTTGTAAGTTAAATGTGTGCCTTCCCCGCAGAAAATATCAGAACGAAACGAAAATATTGCTCTGTTTTGCGAATAAACCCACTCAATTTCGCTATATATATGCAAGTATAAAAAAGAGTGCACATTCGAACAATATCCTATTTGCTAACAACACTTGTTCGAAAAGCGACAATTTTCAAGATAGCATTTAATAGGTTTTTTTGCTTTATAAATCAAAATCAATCAAACATCGATGGCTATAGGAGAACAGAATAATATGCGCATCCTCATTGCATTGGGTATCATCGGCCTATTTGGAATAATTACTTTTGCTCTGGCAGCTGCTACTCTTGGCACTCTCAATAAACGATTGGACGATGTCAATCAAAAATTAGATGGAATTCAACAACGGGTAGATAATATTATTAATAACTCATCTAGAACAACACCGCCAACTACTATTACAACATCAACTACCACTGCAAGAGCAGCTACCAATACGGCAGCAGCTACCAATACGGCAGCAGCTGTCACTACGGCAGCAGCTGTCACTACGGCAGCAGCTGTCACTACGGCAGCAGCTACCAATACGGCAGCAGCTGTCACTACGGCAGCAGCTACCAATACGGCAGCAGCTGTCGCTACGACATGAGAGCAGTCTCATCAAATGTAGTGGTAGTCACCCGGCTATATGTGATTGATGACTGATCTTCAGACAGTTTATGTAACTGTTGCATTTTCATCGTTACGTTCGTTCTCAGCCTCTTTTGCATGGCACTTTTTTTATCTACTCCTTTCTTGAATAAATTAATAAATAAATTAACGATACATTGAATTATTTGAAAATTGATAATGACTGCAGGTTGGCCATCGCTATATCCCATGCGTCTGATTGTCAACTGCAATAGCAAACTGAATTAAACAATTTCATGACTCAAACGTAGTTTTTTAGTTTCGTATTTGCGAAGGCAATGCTCGAATTCGTTTTTTTCTCAAATATATTGAAATAGGAATTTATTTTATCAAATAACAATGATTTCTGGTGCGAATATTGAAAATCCATTGTGTTGTCTCAACATCGATGATTATCTCGACGTTGTTTCTGTTCAGAAATGTCATTTGAATAGGAAACGCGGTCAAGCACGTTGTTAAGTGATGCTGATTAGCGTACTAGAAAAAAAAATCGTCCAACAACGCATGAATCAAATATATCAAAACAGCAATATATGTATCAATGTTTATAGCTGCCTTCGATATGTTCAAGATAGTAGGAGATTTCATGAAATGTAGATTTAACACTTTACTTGAAAAATCTCTATGAAAATAAGCAACTTTTAATGGTGTGCCGTAGAAAGACCGAAAGGGAAAATGTCGAAAGGGAAAAATATCGAAAGGAAAAATATAGAAAATGACGAAAGGAAAAATGTCGAAAGAAAAATGTCGAAGGAAAAATATCGAAAGAAAAAATATCGAAAGGGAAAAATATCGAAAATTTGCACTAAGATGTTTTTATTCTTGAAATCATAATAGCATCATAGCATAGATCATAGATAAATAAGAGTTATAAAGAAAAATACACATATCCAATATTTACTAGTTGTTGCTGTTGTATTCAGTTTGAAAATATATTTATCTGATACAAGGAAAAGTTTTCCTTTTTACGACTGAATAAATGAAATAACTGGAGTTGGCGGATGATTCTCACCAGATAAAAATGAGCAAGCTGTAGTCATCATGATAAAATTTTAATCGTTGTATACTATTTTACGCCTATTTTAGCTAGTTTTCATAAGATATTACTTATCAATAGTATCAAGGGTTATCATTGTCAAACCAATGGAATAATCAGATCAACAACAATGAACAACAAACTATTAGAACCTTCATTTAGTAGACGTCGCTTTTTTTATCTTTTCTGTTTTCGACATTTTTCCTTTTCGATATTTTTCTTTCGACATTTTTCCTTTTCGACATTTTTCTCTTCGACATTTATCCATTCGACATTTTTCCCTTTCGATATTTTTCTTTCGGTGTTTTTCTTTCGGTATTTTTCCTTTCGATATTTTTCCTTTCGGCCTTTCTACGGCCAACCCTTTTAATCAGTCCTTAGATGATAGATTTGATTTGATCTTGATAAGACAATGTTATTAAAACAACAGATTCTATTAAATAATCAACTTGTCCGGACATTAATTCTGCAAGTAGCATTCAATAGTTTAGGAAATTTATCTGAAAGGATCACTAATGTGATTTGTCACTAAAAATATTACGAAACTAATCTCTAACTGAAAACTGTAACTCAATAAGGCGACACAACAAAATAAGTGCATGTAACTTTATACGAAACGAAATAGTTTGCAAATAAACGATACGTCTCAAAATCGAAGCGAGACTTTGTTTTACTGTCTAACACTGATGTGATCATCAAGAAAAATCATGTTGGAAAATAAGTCGATTTTGCTTATTGAAATCAATGAACACTTCCTCTTCCCAACCGATATCATATTACCACGTAAATTGTCAATACAAAATAGGTCAAATGAAAATATTTGCTTTTGAGCAAACATTTTACAATTCACGTCATTCAGACAGTCGGTGAGTAAGAAGTGGCAATAATCAGGTTTCTTTTTGTTTGTCTATAATATTTGTGGAAATAAAATACAGTAGAAATGTATTAGCAGAACAGTAACAATCAAAAATCTGCAATTTTCATTTGAAGAGAATAAATACATTCTCTACATACAATAATTCTGACGCCAATCAACTATTAAGTTTAACGGAAATGATACTAATTATGCATTTCGGAGTGTGATCAATATTCATCTGGTAAAGATAAATAAATTCTATAATTTCGCATTTCAGCTTTATCAAACAACTCAAGTTGTACGTGCATAACACTATTTCCTTTGGTGTTATATCCCCTTTTGTCCGCCAGACTTCAAGAATTAAGAAATTTTCACTCGAAAGTATGTACTGATAAGGTGGCATTGTCTTGAAAGAATTACAGAGAAAATCTTAATTACCATAATGAAACCATTTTTGTCTTCACCGTAGTGAAACCTTATTGCTTGTGTGCTATCAAGAAGTCCTCACAGATCAAGACTACAAAAAGAAAAAGCTCATCCAGACAATTCTTTCTTTTTTTGTCTAACATAACCACAAAGGTGCATTCGTATACATAAAACAGAAAATTCTATTTGAAGTTTTCATTGCATCCACTACTTGCAGACAACTTTTTAAAATACAAAACAAAAAACGAACTAAATAGAAGAAAAACGTAATTGGTGGATTTACATGCATTGTTACACAGATCTTGATCAGAACAAAAGCAAATCTCTTTCACTTTTTGATCATCTCTTTTTACTTGACGACATCCGTCCGATGTATTGATTCCTAATTCAGCAGCTTGTATAAGTTCATTGGCGGAAAAACATCGGCGACTTGATTTAAGTTTTGATCGACTTCTATATTTTATTAATGGTCGATCATCGGTTTTATTTTCATATTGTTGCCTATCGATTAAATCAACTGATTTCCAGCATTTGCCAGTGCAATCTTCTCGTGTATGTTGCGTAAAATCAAAATCGGCACCACAATCTGGATATAGATGAATAAAAATCGCACAACAGTCGGACGCAAAAGCAAAACACGAGAGCTCAATACGTACCATCGCGAAAAGCGTCAGCCGATTGAATTGTGACTTCACAACGCCAACAGTGTACGAGAGATTCGTCAGATTCAATGGTATGAAAAATCAAGTAAAATACAAATGACATTTTTAGCCATTTCGATGCCATCATTTATCAATGAACTATAGATTAATGTCAACACGTGCGCAGAAGAAGGAAGAAGATTTTGAACAAAGATTTATTTGCTCTATGAACAGCGTTCGTTTTTTTTCTTTCTTGCTGTTGACAAAGAATTTCGATCATCTACTAGAAGATTCAATTTATGCAAATTCTATCAAATAAAGATTTAATTGAATGTGCGATTGTTTGCAAAAAGAAATATTTACTAACACGATGAATGTGTATAGTACGATTATATCGAAAATGATGATTACGATTAGTGCAATCATTCAATTCGATAATTTTTAATGTGAGGGCGCTAGATATTATATTCACGCTCTGTTGTTACTTAAAGACTCAAGTATTTTTTCAATACGGCCTTCCGATTTTCATGGATTGCATTTTTGTAGGTTAGATTAGCCCGGACTTGCAGGGTGTGATTTGTTTTTGAAATTATAAGATGTTGCTTCTTTTAATTTTGTGATGAATGAGATGAGCAATAATTTGAAAGGGTTAAAGTTATTCTATTTGGCAAGTTTTCGAATATAAAAATTAGTCTACGTTTACTTTGTGTTCAGTATAACCGACGCTATACGAATTGGTGTGACATAAAAGGTGAATCTTTCGTTAGTCACAATTTTTTTAAAGGCTAAATAAATTATTTGATGCAATTCAAAGTAAATTGCTTAGCATTGATTCGTTAAGATTAGCGGCGAGCGCTATGGGCACGATATTCGATTCTCTTCGAGTCAATTATATGCGAATTGTGAAAATTCTTGGCTGCTGTAGCTCCAAACATGTCGATAAACGGAACTGTTGTATTTGTTATAAACTTGAAAAATCTACTGAACTTATTTTTCAACATTTTTTATTCAAAAACATGAACTAATGATGATGCTGTTCAAACTATTGTTGTCTGCAGCCATCATGGCAGAGTATCACTTGCTTCAGAATTTCTCACAACGACAAGTGTTAGTATTGACTATTCTATTAGTTAATCTTTTCGATATTTACAACAGCCATAGTGTCGCTAATCTAACTTTTATTGTCTCTTTTGGTCGGCTTTTTCAAGTATTTACTAATAAAACACTCAAAATATCCGTGCGTTTGCATACATATAAGAAAACTGAGTTAAACTGCTACGCATAGATTTTCATATTCAATCTGAGTATGAGACCATAATTTAATCCCACTAATAAAATTGAAAGTATTATCTACGACCTTAATACATCATAACAACGAACATATTTTTAGATGTACGAGTATGTTCGATGCTAACTCACCAGAAATATTTAAGATTGTATGTTAATTGAAATTTTCTTCTGCAAATAAATAAATTTTAGTAGAACGGCTCCAACTTTTTAATTCGTCTTTCGGTTTAGAAGTGTATGGGGTTGTGGTAAAAACTTTTTCAAACTATCGAGAAGACGATTTAGAATTTTCAAAAACATTAAAAAATCATGAACCTGAATTGACTGACGAAAAAATAATAGAAATCTTAATGATTTTTTTCTGTGACAATTCAAGTTTCAAAAGAAAATACACGATATGTAACAATCTTATTTATTTGCCCGAAATTTCTCCTTTCAGCCATAGCGAAAATTTTGCACTCTGTTGTCCTTCAATGACTTGAGTCATTTTATTACTTAAACCTTGATAATAGAAATAAATTCAATAGCTTAAAACACTATTCTATTGTCATCGTTAAAATCTAAATTTATCGATCTATGATATTTGAAATAAAGCTCTTGGACTTAAGACTTTTTATATCATCTATCGTCAACGATATTCAAATCTGATCAATCATTGCCTTTATTCTACCTAATGAAATCAACACTTAGCGTCATGCTTAATCAAAGAGTCAATGCACTTCCATTTTCTACTTATCTTTCTCTGTCAATAATACGCATTTATTGCTATATTTATATGTCATACTTTTTCGTTTTATTAACAGTGGAAACCGAAAACTACAGAACAACATGTCTGAACAAGCAATACGCAGCAACATCAGTAATAGAAGCTTGAAATTAATAATTGCTGGTATTGCAGCCGGAATAGTAATTACAATCACTATTCTGGGTCTTGCAATAGCCATATTTGTTAAGGTGAACAGCAGCAGCAGCAGCACACCAGATAATTCACCTTCAGCTGGTTCGCTTTTAGGTGATTCCATTCGTATTGAAGAATTAATGGATCATCTGAAAGAGTTCCAACGCATTGCTACTTCTAATAGTGGAACTCGGGCTGTTACCACACTAGGGTTTAATCAAACACTTGATTACATTAGAGATACTCTTGCCATTAACACTGATTTTGTGGTATCTAGTAAATATTTCCCTATACGTCAATTTGGTCTCAATAGTGATCCAATATTAACTTCCTCGATTAATGGTGTAGACAAAACTTACACATATTCAAAGAATCTTGCGACTGCCGACTTCTATCATATTGACTTCTCAACAGCAGTTGATTTTTCGGCTTTCGTCCAACTTACTGCGATTCCAAATGTTGGATGTTCCGATGATGACTGGCAAAACGCCAATCCACCACCCAACGGAAGAGTAGCAATAGTAAAACGAGGCATCTGTGCATTTCCTGACAAAGGTGCTCTTGCTGCTAAATACAATGTAACCGCTCTTTTGATCTACAATGATGGAGCAAGTCCTGACCGTGTATCTCCAATCGCTATTGGTCTTGGCCAAGAAAGTTTCTTACCTGCTCTATTTCTCTCATTTCCCGTTGGTCAAGAACTTGCTAATGCAGCTCTAAGCATATCAAATAATACAGGTGTTCGACTTACCATTGATGTTAAAAATTTACCGTTATCACCCATAGGCAATATTTGTGCTGATACGCCAACAGGTGATGCAACTCAAACTATTGTTATAGGTAGTCATAGTGACAGTGTTCCAGCTGGTCCAGGAATCAATGATAACGGTAGGTTACAATACTTCGAAATTCTAACAATTTGTTTTCGATATTTTAGGCAGTGGCAGTGCAGCAAATCTCGGTTTAGCCGTTGCACTTGCACGACTTTTTAAAACATCAACCTATGCAAAATATAAATATCGAGTTCGATTCTGTTGGTGGGGCGCAGAAGAGATCGGTCTTCTTGGTTCAGATTATCATGTTAAACAAGCTAAAATTTCTACTGTGGTTGGTGAACGTTTGAGTGACTATTTAGTTANAATTTGTTTTCGATATTTTAGGCAGTGGCAGTGCAGCAAATCTCGGTTTAGCCGTTGCACTTGCACGACTTTTTAAAACATCAACCTATGCAAAATATAAATATCGAGTTCGATTCTGTTGGTGGGGCGCAGAAGAGATCGGTCTTCTTGGTTCAGATTATCATGTTAAACAAGCTAAAATTTCTACTGTGGTTGGTGAACGTTTGAGTGACTATTTAGTTAATCTTAACTATGATATGCTAGGCTCACCGAATTATATTTTTGGTATTTATGATGGTAAAACAGCAAACAGTGACACACCAGTTACCGCCCTTCCTGGTAGTAACAAAATGACTGCTTTGTATCGTCAATGGTTTGATGAACAGAAATTACCATGGAATTATACTGATTTCAGCGGTCGAAGCGATTACGGTCCATTTTTAGCTGAAGGAATCGTGGCTGGCGGATTGTTCTCTGGCGCAGATGGTACGAAAACGCTGGATGAACGAAATTATTATGATCAAATGCTTGGTCAAGGCATGGGTGGGATTGCTGGCGCTATTCACGATCCATGTTATCATCGACAGTGTGACTCAATTCAAAACATCAATGCATTTGCATATGAAAAGATGGTACAAGCTGCTGCTTATGTTTTAGAACAACTAGCTCGTCAAGATGATTTGAAGACATGGCTTTATCCGGAAGGTAGACAAATTCGTTACAGAAATCAACCGCCGAAAAGAAAATATGACTCGATAAATGAATATTTTGGCATGCCCTACGCATGAAACCTTGTGTCTGTAATAGTTATAAATGATTTTAATATTCATTGAATAATTACTTACATAAACTCTTTCCGGAAGATACTTGTATTAATTCTATGCGAAAAGTTTATATTCAACATTTTCGTTTCGATTTTTAGAAAAGTGCTGAATACAGCATGTGCACTCAGGAGATGATTACGGTATGCTACATGTATGCAAAAGCAAATATACATATTTATCGAATGATTAGCCTTTTGACAACATCCATATGAAAAAGACATGAATATTATGTTTCATTTTGTTGATGGAATACCGAAGAATTTCATCTTCTTGACTTGAACCATCAGGCTAAACTAGTTGATTGGTGAACACTTGAGTAGTTATTACGAACAGAGGGTGGTTATCATTCGATTCGAAACATCAATGCATTTATGTATGAAAGAATACTACAAGCAGACTCGTGTGCTAGAATATTTAAAGCGCTAGTATGACTTGAAAAAATACAGATATATAAAATGTTTAAATTTTGGTGTGGGAAATAAGACAAAATCGAACTACGTACAGACTAGACTAAGTTGATTCGTTGATTTTATTTTAAGATTTCGAGCAACAGAATTTTTCGAAAACATAATTGACCACATTCCGTTCAAGCATTTAAAACTGCATCAGAAAGAGAGAGAGAGAGAACTGGTATCAAGGAATATTTCATATTTCTCATCTCAAATTTATCAAAAAAGATATCGAAATATTTATGATATCAAACTGCTTTTATTTACTACTGTTTGTTGACATTTTGACGGTGCTTAAATCTTTCTATTGAAATAATCCTGGTTATATGATTTTAAAACAAAATGACAAGACAGTTATTACTGATAACAAGTAATAAACATCGTTCTATGATCATAAACATATTAGTCGATTGGTATTATTTTACGGCGATAGGTTAGCGTTAAATTAGTTCTTAAAATTGTAAAAAAGAATTTTGTTGAGAAACACTCGATTGAAGTGGGATCGTTATATTGCATTTATCATAGAAGAAAATATGACAAAGATCCAAGGTTTTTCTTTTCTTCTTATATAAATATCGTCGATTAATTTTCTTGTATCTATACTTTCCGTTTAGTTTTACTGAGTGATCAACAAGCCGCACGATCATCATGAGTAGCAATCAAGTTTCAAATGAAATGGTTGATACAAATAATGATAGCAAGATATCGTCAATGAACAAAAATATTAAGTTCTTATTTTATGCACTTGGTATTGGCATATTTTTCACAGTCACCACTGTTGCTCTATCTGCAGCTACATTAGGTACTGTTATTAAGAACTTCAAAGACACACCAACATCGAAACCATCGCTCGGTTCTAAATATGCTGAGTCAATTGAAATCTCAGATGTGATGATGCATCTTAAAGAACTACAGAATGTAGCAACTAATGCAGATGGTAATCGAGCTGTTAGTACGTTGGGTTTTAATCAAACACTTGATTATATCACTAGTTATTTGTCGACGCAAACAGACTTCAAAGTTGCACGAAGTTATTTCTATTTAAGAAAATTTATTATTGGTGCAAATCCAGTCCTACTAACATCGATCAATGGTGTTGAAACGAATCGAACATTTTCGTCGAATCTTTCAGCATCAGAATTTTACTTTATGCAATATACAAGATCGGCTAATTTCAATAGCTTTGTTCTAATAAGTCCTATTCCAAATCTGGGCTGTTCTAGTGCTGATTGGCTTGCGGCAAGTCCTGCACCTGCTGGGCAAGTTGCATTAGTGAAACGAGGCGAATGTACTTTTGCAGAGAAGGCAGCGCTAGCATCACAATACAACGCTGCTGCTCTTCTTATCTACAATGATGGTGAAGCACCAGATCGTTTTGCACCCGTTTTTATCAACCTAGGGCAGAGTAATGAGTTACCAGCGTTGTCTCTTTCCTATAATCTCGGTAAGCAACTAGCTGATGCTGCTCAAAATCCATCTAATAATGTCGGTGTTCGTATTATTATCCAAATGGCTGATGAATCATCGTATCCCGTTGGTAATATTTGTGCTGATACGCCAACAGGTGATGTAACTCAAACTATTGTTATTGGTAGTCATAGTGATAGTGTTCCAGCTGGTCCAGGAATCAATGATAACGGTAAGTTACAATATTTCGAAATTCTAATAATTTGTTTTCGATATTTTAGGCAGTGGCAGTGCAGCAAATCTCGGTTTAGCCGTTGCACTTGCACGACTTTTTAAAACATCAACCTATGCAAAATATAAATATCGAGTTCGATTCTGTTGGTGGGGCGCAGAAGAGATCGGTCTTCTTGGTTCAGATTATCATGTTAAACAAGCTAAAATTTCTACTGTGGTTGGTGAACGTTTGAGTGACTATTTAGTTAATCTTAACTATGATATGCTAGGCTCACCGAATTATATTTTTGGTATTTATGATGGTAAAACAGCAAACAGTGACACACCAGTTACCGCCCTTCCTGGTAGTAACAAAATGACTGCTTTGTATCGTCAATGGTTTGATGAACAGAAATTACCATGGAATTATACTGATTTCAGCGGTCGAAGCGATTACGGTCCATTTTTAGCTGAAGGAATCGTGGCTGGCGGATTGTTCTCTGGCGCAGATGGTACGAAAACGCTGGATGAACGAAATTATTATGATCAAATGCTTGGTCAAGGCATGGGTGGGATTGCTGGCGCTATTCACGATCCATGTTATCATCGACAATGTGACTCGATTCAAAACATCAATGTATTTGCATATGAAAAGATGGTACAAGCTGCTGCTTATGTTTTAGAACAACTAGCTCGTCAAGATGATTTGAAGACATGGCTTTATCCTGCTGCTCAAATTGCAAAATTGAATGATCAGCAAAAACAACAACAACAACAACAACAACGACGTAAACAAAACTACAATTCAATGAATGAATATTTTGGATACCCATACTATTAATTACTTCTCTTTTTTGTTTCTTTATAATCGAATTGCTGAATGTGCCACAATAAAAATAGACTAAATAAAATGATACAGCAAAATATGGCTTCATAGCTACAGTTCAAGCTGTGATTAGGTCAATAGAACAAGTTTGGCACGTTCGCTCTCCATTTTCACATCTACACCTTATTTCAGCAAATTCATCTCTCCAAAATGATTTCCAGAAAAACTGCTGAAGGTTATTTTTTGTAAAATTATTCTCTGCACATTTCTCAGCATTGCATTTTAATCAAAGTAAAACATTGGTATGCTATTCAAGAATTTTATTCAACAAAAAAAAACTAAAAGAATAATATTTATGTGCTAGTCATATACATCAAACCAAGTGTGATCGCAACCAGAAAAAAAAAACAAATATCGGATTAAATTCGTAAAACTAGATGCGAATAAACTAAATTCTTTTTTCATTGTCAGTACCTCATGTGTTAAATTCATTGTTCTTCTACGACAGTTAAGATACTTACCTATAGCCCCAAGAATATTATCATAAGCATTCAAAGAGTTTTGGCGTTCTGGAATTTTATCATACATATTCAAACAACCAGCCTACCGAAGAAATGCTTACAAAAAAAAATATTATGCTTAATTTAATATCACTTACCCAATAACTTTCACTTTCAAGCCATGTGTGTAAATTTTGATCGATGAAATTATTAGTCACATAGTTCATTCATATCATGACGAAAAAAAATCATCTTTCTTCCTTTTTTATTACCAATTGATTCATCTGTCTCCTTTGATCTACAGCGCGCCCGATCCTTCATTCATGAGCAATCATGTTCATGCCGACCTGAGTATTTATTCAATCTTAGCCGCTAATAGGATTCATCAGTATTTTCGAAAGCCGGAAAAATATTTTGATGAGCAAGAGATGCGGAGTTCAGTTTCGAACTATTCCTGTAAAATTTTGTTTTCACTGTTTTAAAGACTGTAAGACTTCTATCTGGAATCTGCGTGTGTGCATAAGAAAACAAAATTCATTGGTCCGATATGGAACGAATAACAACCAATGACGATTTCGGTTTAGTGTAAATTCTTACTGTTTCCTTTCTAATTATCGAGCACATAGTTACATATAGCTATGAATTGTCTAAAGTTTAAAATTCTTTCTGATTTTTCGATACATATTCAATGATTTGTAAGCACAAAATTGAAAAAAAGATGAATTCAATGAAATAAGCTTTAGTTTCATGATAAATATATTTTCAAGTAATACATAATATTAATAAGTAAAAGTCACATGCAGACACACACAAATAATGCAGTACATTAGCAGGCAATTGAAATGCCGCATATATATATATATAGATACAAATTTTCTACAAGAAAATAATTAATATTTACAAGGAAAAGAATGCAAATAAATATGTAAGATTCAATTCAAGCAACTGAAACATCATCCGATGTCATTGAGACGGATGCAAGTCGACCAGTACAATACATATGAAGACGGCCAATGAGAAAGACAAGGCATAGTGCTACGATCGACAGTGGAAATAGGATCAGAGCACCGAGTAATTGTATTTGTGCCCAAGCTGCTTTGTGAGTCATCATTGAATGCCAAGCAGTGATCAAGGTGCCATACACACACCAGAAGCCGCACAGTGCACCGAAAACAATCCAGAAATCAGCTAATGTATATGCCATATTGAAAGTTGATTGTTTTGAGAAGATATTGAGAAAGTGATGAATAGCGAGAGTGTCAACTCATTTATAGAGTCGACGAATTCTCTCAGACAAAGATAGGTTTATATCAATTAGTCAGGAAGAATAATAGGCAACGTTGCTCTCTTTGAACGCTAATTGCCGACAAGATAGTGATTGTTTTTTATCTTCTCTTCGAAAGAAGGTTATCGACAATTCAAGGTCATGAGTTACGCAACATGATGACGTCAAACAATCGAGAATAAAATTTGAACTCGAACTCAATGAAAATGTGCTTGTTCTCATGTCTCTTGAACAATTGTTGTTTTTTTGTCAAAATTGATCAATGTGAAATTTAATTCTTATGTTTGTTTGAGCGTTTTAAATATACTCTTTTAAGATAAAAATAATTCGTGGAACCAACACGAATAAACTGTTTAGTTGACATAATCGATTACGATAAAATCTGAAAAAAAAATGAGCATCTTTAGTTATTCTTGCCAGTGACGAGTCGCTTATATATCCGAAGTCACGCTGCATCAAATCATCAATCAATTATCTTCTTCCGTCTATGTCAGAGAAGGCGGTCAATCAAATCGATGTTATTCGCGATAGAATTATCAGTTACGCCAATTTTCCGCGAACATGAAAGAATCATTCCATTTTGATTGCATAGTGAATTTGTGTAGGAATATGTTGTATGTATTCTTTTCGGTATGGTGGTTCTAATAAAATTGTCCTATCAGAAAAAATACTAAATTGAAAAATAATTAGATTCGTTTTTGCCATTGAATATTTTTGAATAAAATCTGATAATTCACAATCTGTAGAGACTTTTTTTTATTCCGATACTTGTATTATCCATTTGTTCAAACTTGTGTGATTATAGGAAAAAAAATCGTACGTTTGTGGATTTGCTGCATCCATTAGAAGTCTAACTTATACTGCGAAATACGTTTTTGTATTAAGTTTTTTCATCAGATAAATTAGACGGTGTTTATGAATAGTTCTTGATAATTGGCCGACGCCTAAAACCGCTATAAGATAATTGTGCTGATTGATTGATTGGCTGTTATTTATTTGTACACCTCGTGACATCTACATAAAATAACTCCACTCTTCGGGACGACTTCGGAAGATTTTTTTGATATACTGAGCCTAAAACAGCTATCAACTTTTTTTTTTAAATTATATTTCTTGGTTTGTTAGTTCGAATTGAGTCATACAGAATAGAATTTATATGCATCTTCACTGTATAATAGTTGTTGTTTTAGATATGACATGATGGTTGAATCCTTAAGATGTTAGGCTTTTATTGCACTGGATTTCAATAATCTCTAGGCAAATTGTGGTTCTAGAAATTTTCAGTGTATCGAAAGTTATTTGATTTCATTGTCGAAGATAATAGATGAACTTTTTCATCGATCAACAATCAAGCATATTCGACGGATGAGCTAGAGAGAAGAAGGGAGGTGAATCAATTAACAATCAAGAGAGAAAGCGAGATGATTTTTTTCTTTCGTCTTGAACGATTGTCTTTGTCATTGACTCGTCATGATATGAATGAACTAGGTGACTATATAATAGTTTGCGTTCTATGCCCTCCTCTGATATCGTCGAAAAGAAAAAATTGAGTAATGCTCTCTAACGATAATCTTGAAACCACTAAATCAGTTGTAACTGATTATTTCATTTGGCGTCTAAAAAGTAAACGAGTGACTAATAATCGTTTATTTGACATCGTACACGCAGCTGGTTATGATACTGAAAGAAAATATTCTTCTTCACTATCGTTTTCAAATTGTCATAGTTCATCATCAATGATAAATGCTGAAGCTATTCATCGTGCGATAGGCAACGAATTATTCAGTGATGGAAAAATTTCATGGGCTAGAATAATCACATTTATTTCGTTTTCTGCTCTACTCGCTGAAAACATTTTGAAAGAAACACGAGAAGAAGAAAAGGATACAATCATTTCGTCTACGATAGATTGGACAACAAATTTCATCGATCAAAATTTCCAGACGTGGCTTGAAAGTGAAAGATATTGGGTAAGTGACATTAAATTAAGCATAATATTTGTTGAAAGTATGTTTTTTTATAGGCTGGTTGTTTGAATATGTATAAAATTCCAGAACGCCAAAATTCTTTGTATGCTTATGGTAATTTTCTTCGAGCTATAGGTAAGTACTTTAACTGTCGTAGAAGAACAATGAATTTAAGACTTGAGGTACTTACAATGAAAAAAAAATATGCAGCTTATTCGCATCTAGTTTTACGAATTTAATCCGATATTTGTTTTTTCTTTTTTAGGAGCGATCACACTTGGTTTGATGTGTATGATAAGCACATAAATGTTATTTTTTAAAAAATTTTTCTGGTAATTCTATATTGTATTTTTCTTTTGAATAAAATCCTTGCATCACATACTCATGTTTGACTTTGACTCAGATTTAAGGTTGGTGAAGAGATCATATTTTTCGATATTTTGTTAAAGATGAAGGATGACGGCAGCTACTTGCCACTGATAGAAACATCGAATCACTGAATATCGTTGCTAATATTTATACATATATAAAAATGACTTTCTTAAGAATATCTGTGTAAAGGAGAAGAAGATTCATAGCTAACTGTTTGACAGTTATTTTTTTGTCATGAAAAGAAATAGGTGTTCAATTTTGTTACAATGCAAGGGTTTAGTTTTTCATTTTCGAATTAGATTTTCATGTGAGGTCAAATGCCGTGATTAATTAAGATTCGTGCTAAACATGTTCAATCGTTGCTACAAATAATGGAAAGTTGAAAGTAATGAACTAGAAAAGATGTCTATTTTTTTTGAAATACGATATTTTTCTAAAGAAGTGATACGTATAGAGGAAAACTGTCTGATCGTAGAAAGTTTCCATCATGTGGAAAAATGTTAATGAGCATTAAATATTATAATTACTATTGGTATAGTCTACATTTAATCAAACGAAGAAAATTTTTATCATTAATGCTAATGTTTTTTTGTTTCATTTAAAATTCATGATTTCAGCAAACTTTTTATTATCAGCAAAAAGAAAAATTTTCTTCGTATTTTCTTTGAAAATGATCGAAAATATCTTAACTTAAGTTTTTTGAACCTCATTCGTTATAGTGAGATCAGAATGAAGCATTTTATATTGCACTAATATGAATTTATGATGAAAGAGACTTCGATCAAAAGAATCTTTCTTTTTCTATCAGATTCGAAACTTTATCTTTTACGTCTCTATATTTGTTATAACTAAAATTGAAATTTCTAAATGCAAAAGAGAATAATTTATGTATTTTGTTAGATCTTGGATTGCAGTTTATCGAAATATTTGTCACAGGAATTTTATATTAACTACTATACTGTGTATATTTTATTTTAGCCTCGTTGTACTGAAGATCACAATAGATTGCGTGCCATCTATAAAAAAAAAGTGATGAATAGATGAAGAAAGAAAAAAAAATCTTGTGAAATAACAAGCAGCGCTTTATTATTTAATGGCATGATTCTACTGGGATGTTCTAGAAAAATCTAGGAGAACGAGATTGAATCAAGCAGACTATAAAATAGTAGTAACGATGCACACTGTTTGTCAGAGGAATATTGTTCTCTTCGAAACATGGTAAGTGATGAAGTATACGCTGTTACCTTACGGTGTCAATATTGATGTTGTTCTTTTTTCTTCCGTTCTTCTTTTATTATTATTTAACAATTCCATTCAGTTCGTGCGGCAGTACTAAAAAGGAATTTTGTATTCAAGATGTTAAAACAAATATTTGAAAAAATCCCAAGGACAACATGTAATTGTTCTTCTTTTCTGAAGCAGTTTCGCGAATCCTATTCTATCATTCTCGTCTATCTCTTACTGATTTCAGTTTTTCTTCTTCACCTTTACGCTTTCAGCTCTGTCGATCATTCGTTTCTATCGTCGTAGGCGTGTAAAATGAAACATCGAATAAATCGGTTCGTTGATTAAAAAGTAGCTTGTACTTTCAGCCGGAAGTTATTGTTGGTACTAGGGTTATTAGTCTATCTTTACTTTATGAAATAAATATAAATAGAATCTTTTTTTAGCCAATAAAAATAAATGAATCACGTATAGCCAAAAATAAAGATGGAAGAAAACATAAAGGAAGAAAGAATTTTTACTATCACCGTTAGAAAGACAAATTCTGTAGTTTCCTATCTCTTTTGTGCGTTACTTGATAATAGTTAAAGATTAAGCTCTCATGCTCAAAGAAAAACAATGCTATATTATCTATTTAATTTTTATTTGATAAATATAATGCATTCATTTTTACATATTCTTTATTATAAAGCGAAATAAAAAGAAAGTAAAATTCCTTGATACTACCGTGAGTATATTCAGAATTTTTTTTCATTAACAATTTAAAGATCGATAGCATGTTGTTTTAGATTTCAAGTGATACTATGACTTCAAACGTTGATATTCACAAATATGAAGTTCAACGAAAAAAACTTTTGCTTCATATTATTAAGTCTAAAAAAAGATTGTTGTTTTTAAAACAATGCAAGTCACTTGATTATATTCCAATGGGTCTTCGCATTAAACAGCATTATCATTTTCCTGGTTCAAACAATTTGTATAAAGGATTTAATCGAGATGTGCTTGAATCGACTATCACCTCAACAATCGAAAACGTCGAATCTCTTCGAAGTGAACTCGCCAAAATCACTTCTGAGCTTGAAAAAATGGATCGATTGCCACCATCTTCATTTAAAGCTACTCGACAATTAGCTACGACTATATCTAGGCGGCATTCTAAAAAGATCAATCGATTCTTTTATTCGTCACCAAGTCCAGAATCACCTGAGAATCAATATTGCATGACTTCTATTGAATTACCCAATCAGATGACACCGAAACAACTCTGTAATAAGCGGGAAGATACTCTTCTGAGGCGTGTGCGTGTACAAGCATCTATTCGATTTTTGGAGGATTGTATTGGCCGACAATTTATTCCAAACTCTATTCGTATTAGACGATCTCACAGGTTGATGATCTCAAATCAACTCTATGATAAATTTAATAGAACATTATGCTTAGCGATCATAGATGCAAAAAAAAAGTATGCTAATCGTATGAACGATTTTCTTCAAAACATTGATAAAACTCTAAATGACGAAGGCAATCTACTTCGACCATGGTGTACAGATAATTGTAATGGAGTTAAATACTTGAAAGACAAATTGGACGCAAAATACAAGCAAAAATTATCCAAATTGCCCACTCATAATACCAGTTCAGTAGATGCAGAAAAGTCAAATACGATTGAATATAACTCAATTAAACAATCCAATAGTTCAACAACGGATGGAATTGTTCAACAAGATACGTCTGTAAACAACAACAGTTTAACAGGCGCTAATCTACCGCCTACTACTACAAATGATGACGAGTCCAGTTCTTCGAATGGTTCTACGTTGCCTCCTCTCGTCTACAACTTTTCTAGCAGAAAACTGGAGAAATCAGAAATCAGTCTTCTCTTAAAAGGTCTTGGCTTTTCACCTATTGAACCATCGAATCACTTTCAAGTAGCATGTTCTGTTCGCGATTTTACTCGTTCTGTTCGTCTAGCGATTATACACGAATATTCGGAAAAACCTAAGCCAAAATTCTTTGTTAAGTCACAATTTATACCTACAGTTTGTAAGGATGATAAAGTGGAGGCTTACCTTAGCGAACTTGAAAAAAAATCGGACGAACATATACCAAAACAATCTACTCAGCGCAATTTGACAAGGGCTGAAAAAAAATCATTAAAAAGTCTTCGATGTGATTCCAGCATTGTTATGAAATCTGCCGACAAGAGTCAAGCTTTTGTAATAATGGATAAAGGTTATTATTCAGCAAAAGTAAAGGCAATGCTTTCTGACGACAATTATTATATTTCTGACGGATCAGAATATCATTATCGAGAAACTATTAAAAAAGTGATTAGATTAGCTAAACGATCCAATCTAGATAGAAATATAAAGCGTTACATTTATGAATATGATGTACAAACACCATTGTTCTATGCATTACCAAAAATTCACAAGTCGAAGTTAATTGAAAATTTACTCAAAGAACAAAATTCATCGACACGTGTATTAGAAATGAATGATCCACCTGATGATTTACCATTTCGTCCTATTGTTGCGTCGACCAACGGGCCAACTCAACAACTCTCTCGGCTATTGGACGGTTTACTTCGACCATATCTATGCAAAGTTCAAAGTTACATAGAAAGTTATGAAGATTTTCTGGATAAAATATCTTCACACCGAAAAGTGACTTCGAATACCTTACTGTGCACATTTGACATAAAGGATTTATACACTAACATCGATCATGCATTAACTGTCAAAGCTATTCGTTATTGGATTAAAAGTGATCCTGCTTTGTTAGAAACAGGTGCAAAAAACGTTTATATGTCTATAGTCGAGTGTAAGAAATTCATCATCGAAGCGTTAGAAATTATTTTGGATAATAATATTTTTATGTTTGATGGTACCTATTATAAACAAATTAAAGGTATTGCCATGGGTTCATCAATAGCCCCGACAATAGCTAATTTGACCATTGGCTACCTTGAAATAAATCTGTACGAAAACGTGAAAGAAAGGATGGGTGAAGATATACATTCGTATATTAAGGAACACTGGTATCGTTATATTGATGATTGTCAACTTCTTTGGCCTTTTGGTAACGAAAACCTTGTTGTTTTTACCAATATATTAAACGAGTTAAATGAAGCAATTAAATTTGTACGTGAAGAGAACACGCAGAAACTTCCATTTCTTAATATTATGCTTTATATTAAAAATAATCAGCTCGAATTCGATATTTATCACAAGCCAACGCATACATTTGCTTATATAGATTTTCGTTCAGCTCATCCTCGACATGTTAAACGCATGCTACCATATACTTTAGCATCAATGATAAAAAAAATAGTTACGAACGATGAAAGATATCGCCGTCGTATAACTGAAATGCGTAATCATCTAATATCACGGGGTTATCCGTCGCGTCTTATCGATGATGCCATAAACAAAATGAAAAATGAAAATAGCAAAGAAGCACCAACCTCACCTTCTATACGTTTCTTAAACTTTCGAGTTGTTTATAATCCGAACAATCCTGATCTATATTCAGATGTATCCACTCAACTGCCGATTGCACTTGGCGAAAGAGCTAGCACGTTCCGGACACGCAAAGTCAATAAACAGTCAGCCAATTTAAAACGAATCTTAACATCAAATAAATTCTATCACGAATCTCAGCCTCCTTCAAGCTCTCCAAAGAAGTGTCAGCAACGTGGATGTAAAATGTGCGAACGAATAATTGACACGCCAATCGACGAAAATATTCGATGCAATGCTACACTTGATTGTCATTCTCGGTTTGTTGTTTATGAAAAGAGCTGTAAACACTGTAAAAAGCATTCAATTAATCATATCGACTCGTTATTTAAAGACAAAACGCCTTGTGATTGTGGTAATGCAAATACTCAATTTTTTCCATTTCATAAAATGAACACAAATAATCCAGTAGATAGGGAAGTATGGTTGAATATGTTTGGTCCTGGTAAAGTTAGAAAATAATTCTTTATATGAAAACTTTAGTCTTTATGTTTGTTTGTTTTAAAATGTTTTTATGCGATCTGATGAAGGTTGTCCTAGGACATGACCGAAACGTAAGCTAACATACGTGCAGAGATTATTCAATTATAATGTATATTAAATAGTGCGAATAATCCATAAAGGACTTTTGAAATACCACTATTCAATATTCATTACAAAAACAATACCCATTAGCAAGAGATAGTAGGGATTTTAATTTAGTACATCTGAAATTACTCGACAAAATTTTTCTACCACCAGATTGCGCTAAGTGTCGTTTCTCATTTTCAATGAGAAACGACACCGCCAATCTGTTGGTAGAAAAATATAAAGAAAATAACTATAAAGTAATTTGAGATTAATTTAGGCTTCTAACCATTCCTTTCGAGTAATACCTGCCACATGCAAAATATATCCTAATAATTTAGCTGAAAAAATATCGTAAGTAGGAAATGAAATACTCAGATCTCCACGAACGATATGACATGGATGGCGACCCTTTCCTGTTTCAAGTCTAAACCCAAATTTAGTAGTCAGAACTTTAAGAACAACTCTTCGCTTAGTATTTCCAAACATTGCCATAATAGTATCCTTTTATCATTAATTCTTTTTTTCATTTATCAAAAAAATTGAATAATCTTTGTATGCATGCTCTGAAGACGAAGCATTGCATGTGTTTCGAAACGTTATCGCAAATCTTTGCACTAACCATTTTTCCGAAATGTTCTTATTGTGTGTGTAAAAACATATAATTTTGTTTAATAAATACAGTGACCATCATTCTGACTTCAAACAATCTTCTAGTTAATATTTAATCAGTCTATGTGAAAGAAAATTTTAATTGATCGATTAGAAGAACTCTAATATTGACTAAATTTCCTTCCAAAAGTTCAGCTGAAAATAATTGTAGAAAAAATATCCTGTGTCTAAAGTTTTCAAGAAGAAGTCTTATTGATTTTCTACATGACGCAAAGAGTGTGCTCAAGCAGTTGAGTTTGTCTTTCTAGATTGATCCTATTATTATAATTTCATTTTGTGTCTCTATAGTCAATGGCATGATTTTTATTTTGAAAATAATGAATTGTCGAATAGGATTGTTATCCTTTTAAAGTCGGTACGACTGCATTAATGCGGTTTTGTGCAGAATGTCTAACTAACATTTCTGGAATTTGTTCTCTTGCTACATATTGAGCTCGACATAAGAAGAATCTTCTGACTTTACTGTTCAAATGTGGTAAAGAAACTGCACTGAAGAACGGTAACAAAAAATTAGTGTAATATGAAAAGAATTTGATAAGAGTTTGAGTTTCAGCAATAGAATCTGTTTCTATACCAGCTAACGCAAACAATGACAAGAGCATATTTGGAATATGAAGAAAAAAAATCATATAGAGATGATATAGCCAACAACTAAATTGGCATCTTCCGATATTTTCGCCATTGAATCTGTTGAACTAAACAACGTTTTCCAATAATGACACGAAAAAATAGAACCATATTGAAAACTGCAATCACCAATATGGGTAGAATGTTATTAAATACAGTATCTCATATGCCAGCCAGTGATATGTCATAATAGCACTCGGGCGAACCACAAGCAGATTGGTCGTTGTCAAATGTATTTTCAGATGATGGAAATAGAATAGTAAAAGAATAAAACAGAAGTAAATAAACATTTAAGCAAGCTAATCGAAAATAGTGAACAAGAGCCCATTTCTTCGATGTTGAAACCCATCGATTATGAAAGATGAGAATATATCTTTCAACTGCAGTCCAAGCAATAAGAAATAATGAAACGGAAAAAAGAACTTCATCAATCAATAACCAAAACATACACAAAGCGGTTGCACTTGGAAAGACATTGCCAAAACGATAAAAATAAATGAGATAAAGTGGAATATTGGCTAAAAAATAAATAATATTGACTATCAATAGTAAAACAAGCGTATGATTGCTTAGATTACGAGGTAAAACTCGATCGAAAAGCAAATACCATAAGACAAATAAATAGCAAATAAGCGAGAGAACAAGAAATAATGGAGAAAAGTCAAAAACGTACAGAAAATGGAATTGCTACATCAAAATATTTACTCTCTGGCGATGTTTCATTATTGATTTCATCAGTTGAATCCAATGTCGCGATTTGATACGAAACAAAGTTAACTAACTAGATCAATGTATGTCATACGACGATGTTAATGAAATTAATATAAACATGAATTCTGCCTGTTTTCTGTTGCAATTTAATTTAACTCGTATTGTATATTGCGCAAAACATTTCACTCTCTCATCAACAACATAGAATTAATTGAGAAGCTCCCACTTCCATGGCGAAATGTTCTTTAAGAAAAAAGAAGCACAACAAAATGATAATCATTAATGAGATTTACTATTTTCAATGATTTAATCTAGTATCTTTAAGCACCGGATGCCTATCTAGTGGCGGTGCAATTCGCCATGTGATTTAAGTCACGCTTTCCGCACATATAATTAACGTCGAATTATACAATACGATTAAAGTTGGTCTTTAATCTTCATTTAATAACAGTTATTTGAGTCTTCTAAATATTAGATCGGAATTTTTAGGACAACATGATAAATAGCTTTATGCTGAGTTTGTTGCTGTTTGTATATTTATAGCTGAATAATACCGGGTGCACTTTTCTTTGTAAACGAAAGAGCTTTCAGCATGTAATGGGTGGGACAAAAATTTGTTTTTGATTTAACTCTGCGATACAATGTCACAGAGACTTGATGTTTCTTTTGCTAGATAGAGCAAAACGTCTAGTGCAAAGCTATATAAAAGAATTTGATTGGAAATGCTTTTTCGAAGGCCACATAAATCTTAAAACAAAATTCACAACTTTGATCACAGTTTCTTTTTATTCAGAAATATTTGTTTGAGCTTTTTCATTGCCCACTTTCGGCGCGTTCGAGCATCAAATACATGCAGTCGTTTACTGCAACGAAGGCTTTTATTTAGTATTAAAATAATTGCTACAGTTTGCAAGAGAATGAGCAATAGATAATTTGATTAAAAAAATTAGTTTTGCAAATTTAATTTTCCAACGCGGAAACAAAATTTTGTCTGAATATCTGACAGAAAAACTGTATCATGTTCAAATAATATCGTTTAGTGAAGGACTCAATAAACTTTCTTTTTTATATCAAACATACAGCGGCTGACAATCTCGCTCTCAGAGTAGAGTTTATTTTTTTTTGTTTTGACTACAATCGACAGTGGTGGAAATTTTGTGACTTATATGATATCGTTCGAGTGCTCGTTTCGACCGTTATAAAACATGGAGAAAATTTCCTTTTTTTGCACAGCAATAAAACTCTATTCTTACATGATAAAAGATGGATTAGATGAATAAAAATATAACCTGTTGAATTATAGGAAGTATTTTCTAGAGCCAAAAACGTTGAGAAAGAATTCTCCATCCTCTTTTTTTCTAAGATCTGTGTGACCTTCGAAAAACATTTCCAATCAAATTCTTTTACATGGTTTTACACTAGACATTTTGTTCTTTCTGACTAAAAAAACATCAATTTTCTACAACACTTTCCTACAGTATCGAAAACAAAATTCACGCAAAACTTTTACTCCATCCGTTATGACATTTTCTTTGCTGTTCGGTTTGTTTTTCCGTCGCAAGAAAAGAACTGATCACCGTGTATCGGCTTCCTCAAACAAATATTTCAGTCAACCACTGGTACGAAACATTTTTGCCCAAACAACTCTTCTGTTATAAGCGTTAAGTATTGATCTCAACATAAAATCAAGTTAACCATCGTTACGTAAACAGAAATTTAGTTATATGCGAAACTAGAAACAACATTGTTCAAAGCATTTTAAAAACAGAGTCTGTCCATGAATAGGGCAGTATAATACTACAATGGTATTTTACTTTGTTTCATCGACAAGAAAATGGAGTGATACACCGTTTGGAATCTTGTTTGAATTCGAGCAGTAAACATTTGTAGAGCATGACATTCAATGATTATTTGATTTTAGTTCCTTCCTTTGCATAGAAATAAAACTTTCTTGCAAAACATTCGAAGTCACCCATAACCATATTCTATGAAAACTTTCATGAACCATTTAAACTCTCCGACTAATGTCATAGTGGACAAACCACGATTGACGGCAAAAATAACTATGTCTTCAGATTTCATTTTCTCTTGACACAAAATGCGTATCGATTTTCTAATGCTAATCTATCAAGAATTCAATAGAATTGCAAAGTGAACTACACAGAGATATTTTCAAGTGACTTCTAATTTTTAATTATCGAAAGAGAACAATCCTACCCTATGGTAATTATATAATTGCATAGATGCATGACTTTATCATATGAAAATCAGTTAGAAATCATTCTCTGAATTCTATCTCAAGTAATCGATCGGAAATTGCTTCACACGGCGCGGAAAGTCACTAAATTGCTTTTAAACTGCGGCTATGCGCATGGCATAGAATTCAAAAGGCTACGAATACTCTAGAAAGATTGTAAGCCCTCAGGCTAGTATTTCAAGTCAAATAGGTGACAACCACACCTCATACGAAGAGAACTGATTTTCAAAATTTGCTCTGGAAAACGTCCGGAAGGCAACCATTCATAAGGAACAGTTTCGTGACAATATTTTACATCGTGTCATCGCGTTTATTTTATGATGCAGATAAGGTAAAAATATGTCCTTTATAACACTCGTATATGACAGTTGTTACAATTTTCTCAAGTTAGAGTAACGGAAGATGCAAAAATCTGGAACATTCATAATAAACTATTCTTGTTAACATAATATTTAAAAATCATCATGACTAACAATGAAGTAGAAATTTTGTTTTTTTACGAAATGCCAAAAGTTGTATCGAACAATACAATGTTCCAATAGAAAAAGCAAAGATTGCTGATTTTGAAATATTAATTTTATTCTCGGTTCGATTTCAGCAGTATATAGAGTGCAATGAAAGCATTTTAAAAAGCGAAGAAAACTTTATTTCTACATTTTAACAATACAACGATACCGAATGAAATAAGCGAGAAATAATTAATTTTCAGTTTCTCGAATGTTTTTAGGTCATTGCTAAAATCCTTAAAATAGTCTCACATAGAGAAGAAGAGAAAGAAAAGTTGCCCACTGACAATTTGTGTCAATCGAAAAGCACATTGACCTTACTTTTCTATGCTTGAAAACACTGTCTCATCGTTTGCTTTCTTGTATTTTGGTAGCTTTCCTATAAGAGAGAAAACTTCTATGTAGTGTTGTTTCCCGCTCTGAATTTCTTTTTCTCCTTTTTTTTTGGTGCATAAACATAATTGGAAATAAAATGCAAAGAGGAAGAAGCAGAAAAGAGTCTTTCTATTTCAATCACAGTTGAAAGCGGTTCTGATGTTTTTCTTTATCGGCATTTGTGAAGCAATTAACAGTTTGAACAGTCAACTATCGGATCACTAGAAATAACGGTGTTGTATCTGGCAATCATGACTTTCAAAGGCATGCTAAAAATTGTAGTTAACGATTTTAAAAAGCAACATGTAAGTTATAATCGACTATTCTCAATGGGAACTATGCGAAATTTAATTTTTAGGAAGAGAAAATGTTTTCTATTGCTAACGAACTAATGAAAACACGTCGCGAATTAAAAGATGTCAAAGAGCAACTTCGTGCTGTAAGTACATTGTTTTCGAGAGAGAGAGAGAGCGACAACAGTATTTTCATTTAATCAACTATTAATTTTAATTAGTTACAATTAAATCAGAGTACATCATCGCCTGATATAGCAAGTCTTGCCGGACCGACCATAAGTCTCTTTGTGCAGTATTACGAATTTTTCAATGAATTATGTGATTTTCAGCAAACAATGACAGTCAATCAACTATTAGTATGTTTTTTCTGCTTGAAATTAGACTTATATGTATATATCTGTTATTTATTTTAAAAAAACCTTAGATAAAACTCCGACAAATCACAGGAATACCCCAATCTCATCCGATACGCATTCGTGTGCTTAGTAAAGATGGTTCAACAACATTGTTTTATCTTGATAAAAAATTTGATCGTACATTAGAATCCTATGAAGATGATTTAAAGCCACGAATGATTTTAAAAATTGAAAATGATGAAGAAAGTGGTCTCGAGAAAAAGACCAACCGTTTCCAACGAGCGAAAAGTCTAAGTGATCCTGGACGAACACATTCATATGAATCTGATGTTTAAGAACGACAAAAAACAAAACAAAGTTTTATTTTTTGTTTCAATTTCATATTCTATTCAGGCATCTTTACTCGTGCGGGTATATGTGTGAAGGATTTATTTTGTGCTTTATTTAACTACCTAATAAAGAGCCTCTCGTTTTTTAAGTTGCTTTTTACGTATTTGATTTAGATTATTTGACAATCGAAGGATAATAAACTCTAGTATAAATGTAGGGTCTTTAAAATTTATAGCTGCATATATACTATATATATATATATGGTTTCGAAGATTTATGATTTTTATCATTGCAAATATTTTGTTTGCATTATTGACATGTCGTTTAAGTAATAAGATGTCTATTGGAAGGTCTTTTATGTTGATGACAGAAAAACAAAAGTTTACTAAGAGCAAAAAAACCGAAATAAATAATATTTTAGTGTAGACTTCTCAAGGTAAAAGTTTGGATATTCATAAGAAGAAAAATTTAAAAAAATGAAAACTTGCACGTTCTTAAAAGACGATCTAGACAGACATATATGTAACTGTAAGATAGGTATTGTTGATATATGATTACAGACAGTATATCAATAACGTCTCGTTATAATATTTGCGCTACTTCCTTATTGCATTTGTGAAGGATTAAGTAAAAACAAATGCTCTTCAAATGAATCAAGAAAGACAGTCACCTTCTGAACAACAATTGGGAGTTGCATTATCTTACATATGTTAATCCCTATGGGGATCGCTCTAACAACTGATATATAAATGTATTAAATCAACAATTACAATTGTCTAATTAGATGCAATGTCTCCATTTCGAGAGTAAACCTATCCCTCCTTGAATTTTCTCTTCTTTTTTTCACTTTCATTTTATTCACATAAATTCATAAATATAAAATTTCAATTAAATGAGTATAGCAATAAAAATTAATTTTAACAAAATTTCTATACTTAAAACTTGAGTAACTACTTAAAATGTATATTGTATTACCCAACTTTGTTTTTTTTGTCTAATCGATTTCAAGTATTTGATGATTTACTCTCTTAAGATATGTCAATTTTTCTTCTAAGGTCATATATTAATTATTCGAGAAGTGTTTGACAAATTATCACACTTAATCCTTCAAACTTAATCGATACCTTAGGTAACAATATAAACACTCTTCTATAAAAACAAAACTACATGATTGTGCAATGGTTTCGTTTTGTTTCAATTTGATAATTGAAATCTATATTGATTTTGCTTTTTAACAGAAATCATATGGGTAGAACAAACTTAAAATGATTCAATCAGGAAAAAAATGTCATTGAAGACATTATAGCAAATAGAGAGGAGTCAGAAAGAAAAAATATTGATTTATGATTACGTATGTAGGTTTTTTCTCAATATGATTATTTCGTTTTCAAATAAAATTAAAATATTCTCGCAATGAAATTAAATGATAGAAATATTTTTGATGCACAGTTAGTTTTCTCCGTTGTTGTGTATAGAGACATACATAAATTAACACGATAGTCTATATGATATTGCTCATCTATCAATGATTAAATTATCATCGACAAATTTCAATACATATATTGAGGTGTATATTCGTCTATTTCTATCTAATTTTGTTTCTTCTTCTTTTCTTTTATTTGCTCAGAAGCGAGTCTTCTCTTTTCTTTGCGTTCGTTCGGCAGCAATGACGACGACGACGACGACGACGACTACTATTGATTGATTGTGAAGTTTGCTGTGTATGTTCTGTTCTTTTTTTCTGTCTCTCACTTTCTGTTACTCTCTCTCTCTCTCTCTCCTTTTTTACTTTGAAGTAAAATAACTCGCGATGCGCCAGTATGGACCTTCGAGTGTATGTTGATGGTGTTGCACGCATCATCTGTGATTTGACCCGAAAGACTACTGTACATGATATCATCATTGCGCTAGCTCAATATAAAGGCAAAGCAGGTCGATATTCATTAATTGAATGTGCACCAGACGGTACTCAACGAACGTTATCTCCAAATGAACTCACATGTGAATTAATTTATCATCCTGACTGGGTTTATATTTTACGACAAAATCCTTCACACGTTCAAAAGCGTTCGAAAAGTCTAGATGAAAAAAAAAACATCAATCGAACAACAACAACAACAACAACAACACCAGACAATTGTTGACAGTATGTGAATGTTTTTTTTTATTGCTTCAGATGTACACACACGAAAAAATATGTACGTATATATATTTATACATATAAAAGAGCCTTGAAACATAATATAAATCAGTAAGGACTATATTTTTCTTATATGATAAACAACTATAATTGCTTGTGTACCTTTTTATTCTTGAAAAGAAAAAGATAATAGTCAATAGTATTTAACAAAGAAAAAAAAACTTCAACATGTTGTATTTATTTTTCTCATGTAAAACCTCAAGGTAGCGTGTATTAGTTTTCATAATCCATCGATATCCTTTTTCGATGAAATACGTGGTATGATGAACATGTAATCAGATGTCTACATATACCTGTGTGCAGATCACTTAGCATCGAACAACATGTGTAGACAGTATTCTTTATTTTTTATTGTTTGAATAACACGCCCAAGACAAAAGAAGACGAACAATATCGTTAGAATCAAGCACCTAAGGCCTTAATCGGCTTGAAGCTTGCATGTCCATTATACAGATTAGTCGAACATGCCAAATCTATTGTTGCTTGCAATTCTTTTTTTTTTTGAAAAAGAAAACAAACATGATGTAATAGCTGAAGACATACATCATCGGACTATCGTGCCTATTCCATCAGGCATGAAGTGAAATAAAATTTTAATTCTTCTCTTTTGACTTTCAATCAATAATAGAAGAAAAATACGAGAAAGTCACTGACTCTAAAGAAGACAATAATGCATACCTTGACACATGTCTAACGTACATATATATATAGTCATTCAATACAATGTAAAGTTTAAAACAACTAAAGATAAAGATAATAGAGAAGGTTAATGACATACGATGATGAAAGTAAACAGTCATATAACAATGAGCAAAGATCAATTTTTATTTTCAGCTGCACTACCATTGAACAACTCGTCAACTGGTTACTTTCGAACAGTAACAAACACTAATATAGAAAACTCGACTATACTATCATCTCGGCATAGAAAACGCGAGAACTTTCAAAAAGTATTCCAATCCACGAATAAAAACATTAACAATAATAATAATATTATTCACTCAAATGATTCGTTACCATCACCTCCCATGCAAAAACGTTCATCACGTACTCCTCTTCAAAAATCATTGGAACATCATTCTTCTATTAGTTATGGAAGGCCGAAATCTGCTGTACCAACATCAATGCGTGAAACGAGTGCATTTCATTCTGTACGTAATTCAAATAGTCAACAGCAACAATATATTGCTTTATTACAAATGCTTAAAGCACAAGAAATTCAACTTGAACAGCAAAAAAATGAATTAAATGAAACACAAAAAGGTAAATAGTTAAAAAATCAAATTGCACTTAGAATAGAAATTTCTTTTTTTTGCGGGTATAGAGATTGAATATTATGATTCGATGATTCATCAAGGACAGATCTATCAAGATAATATTCAACATGAATTACAAATACTTGAAGAACATGAACGACGACTTTTCGCTGAATGTCAAACACTTGCTCAAGAATATTCATCCGATAAATTAAACGATGAGTTAGAATATCAGAAAGAATTGAATTCCAATTATGAACATTTACAACAACAATCAACACGTTGTTCGTCGACATTAGAACAGCAAATACAAATGCAAGAACAAATGCAATATAATATTCAACAGACACATGATGAAATTGAACAAATCAAAAGACAATTCAATAATGATCAAAAGGTTCGACAAAAAAACTTCAGAAGATTTTCACCAAAAAAATGAATCTCAATATTTCTTCTTCTAGGAAATAAACCAATGTTCGTATGACCTTGACCGTTCGAATTCTTCTTTAAAACAACAAGAAGATTTACTGCATATGTTAACTCAACGTACGGATGATATGGAACGTATTCTTCAACAACGTCGCAAACGCATAGTAGAAGTCGAACATGAAGTAACACAGTTCGATGATTTGTTGTTAAATAGTAAGTTGAATTTTTTTTTCGTCAACATGACACTTGATTTCCTATCTACTAGCTTTTAGCTCAAATAATTAATTAGGCGAGGTTAGCTTTCTGTCACTTCGTTTTGTCGCATGTTTATGTAAATCACGCGAAGAAGAAAAAACGTTCACCCTTAGTTTTTCTTGAACAAATTTTTCACTTTTCTTTCATTTTTTAGGTCTTGCTAAATCACCATATCGTTTTCATTCGAATTCGTCCAATGATATTATGAAGCCGGGTCATATTCAATTTATGAATAGTACTTTATTAAAATTATGTCCAAGCGGAATTTGGGTTTGACAAGAAAAAGAAAATTTCTAGAATGTGAATTATTTTTATACATATATATATATCTATTCAAATAAAAATAAGCAGTCTTTATTTAATATCGAACTCGATCATGAATCCAATCGAGATAAGCAGATACACGTGTATAAACGCCCGGTAATCTTGCTTGAGCACAACCTATTCCGTAACTAACGATACCAACAAGTTCCCAATGTTGTTCATTAAACAACATTAATGGTGATCCACTATCAGCTTGACATGTATCCGATAGACCATTTTCATAGCCGGCACAAAATTGTTGATCGGGCGAATCGATTTCTTGATCAAAACATAGATTGGTATTGTTGATAGTTTTTATTATCGATAAAACAGGAAGAGATGTTTGTTGAAGTTGTGTTGATATTTGTGAATTAGAATTTAATAATGGATCAATGGTATGACCCCAACCAATAGCCATAACTGTTGTGTTCACTTGAGGGTATGAATAGGACGTAAAACGAGGAAGACATAACATTTGAACAGTATCTGATTGAGTAACTGATCGATCTAATCTTATTAATGCAATGTCATTTTTATAGGTATTAGGATTGAAATCATTATGTAAAGTAGCTTTTCGAATAGAGAAAATATTTTCATATGTAACATCAGTTAAATTGGTTATGCCTATACGAATTTTAATATTTTCAATATCTATGGGATTAGTTTTATCGTTTGAATAAAGACAATGAGCGGCTGTAAGAATGTATTCTGGTGTAATAAGTGCTCCTCCACATATATGTATACGTTTAGGACCATAACTAACCATCCATGGCCATGCCGCTTCATTCGATGGTTGTCCATTGATGATTTTGGAACTAGATCTTATCGGACAGCCACATAATATCGGTGACGCCGTGGACATATGACAAGATTCATTGGGAGAAGATGTCGATGTACTTGAATTGATGGCAACCGTTGTGTGGATGTTAGATAGAAGTAAACCTTGAGATGTTATTATAGTAATAACAAGTAAGATGACGACAAGAAGAAAAGTTATAATAAATATTGATCGATATTGACAACATTTAGAATAGATTTGAAAAAGTTTTCCCATCATTTTCTCTTCTATTGAAAAATGAAGAGATCTATTTTACATTTACATATCGATCGATGCATCTATGTGTATATGGAGCAGAAAAAACAGCTATCTAGTTTATAGTTGACATTCAATGATAGACATTATGCGAGACTAATATACAGAGATTGATCTGTTTTGTTTTTCGTGCCGTATTTTATTGTCATAAATAAAGAGTTTCATGTATGATGAAAATCGTTTTACTTGACCTTTTTGTACTTTTTTTTAATGCTGATGTTCACCTTACTTAGTTTAGAAATAAACAATACATTGCAGCAAAAAATTAAAGACACTTGAGACTGCCCTTCATCAATATGAAACCATAGAACGGTATGAAAATAATACATCAACAACTGCAATAGAAATATACATAATTAATTTTTATACACAATCTCGTTGGTTGTTGCTTTTTTCCCTTCTATATTCTACTATATGCACAATTTTGCACCTAATAAATGACATATTCAACAAATGTCTTTATGTTCCCTTAAACTATAGCTCATATTTCAAATTTTATCCCTATTAAATATAATTTCTTTCTTTGAGAATTCGATTGGTTACATAAAAAAATATGCGAGATACACACTACCAGTTCATTAATCGTCTTGTCCAATGGACAGTATCATATTTTATTTTACATAATTTCGACACGGATTCATTGGTAAATTGTAATAATTGTTGAATAAAATGTATGATGACGAAATATTAGATTTAAATTGACCTTCAACTTATAATAAGAAGTTTTATCTTACCTAATTACATGAACTTTAGATTTATAAGCTTTTATAATTAAGAGACCTTTGAAATATATTTTCTACATTGATAAATACTATTGTGTAAATAACATGTTACATTTTGTTAAGAAATGCGGTACATTTGAAGTTGAGTTCAAATGTTAGAAATTAGAAAAAGTACACGATATGATAAGTTATTTCGTGTGATTAGAAGATTATAACAATTCAATTGTGTATTAGTGGTTTTTAAAGTAAATTTGAAATGTTCTATCAGATAAAAATTTGGGTGTGGGTGTGTGGATGTTGCTCATTCCCTCATAATCTTATCCATGCGCGCACCCACACCAACACCATGGTTACCATACCAGATCTGGTTCATTAAATCGATTCGATTGTAGACTAACGTCTTGTGCGAAAGTTTCTGGACAAAATGTTCGTTCATTTTCCGATCAATTGCAAGAGTTGGCCAAATTTTAAAAACATTGTATTAGAATCAAAATTTTGTGTTCTCTCGGAATCTGTGTTCAGAATTTTTGTGAGGCACTCAGATTAGAAATTATACCTGAAGTTTTGAAAGGCGCGAAAATAACGTTTGGACGAAACTGCATGAACTGAAAAATTTAGAGACGAAAAATCCGATCCTGTCCGATCTAAAATTGATTAAACGATATTTTTCTTATTTTGTAATTAAAGAAAGCCAATATAACTTAGTTCCAGTTTCCTTTGCTTAATCGCATAGCAGTTTGGATCTTTTTCGATCAGCATTTTCGTTGTATACGCCCTCCAAAGTGATAATTAACTTATTATATATTATCCATATTTTTTTGACAGCGTAAAGGGCATGGTGGTCCTCCAGAAGCCGAGAATTGATAGTTTTTCACCAGTTTTTCAGAAACAATGGAGGTAATTTTGATATGTGAAAAATAATCATTTCCAAAAACGTTATTGAACCTTTTACTAAGACTCTTACTATTCGAAGAAGCTTCAAAGGAGACTATTTATTAGGATACAGTTTTATAAGGAAATCTTTGCTGTATCTCTTGCAGTACGCAGAATAATTTTTTACATCTATCTTGGATTATATTTTTGGGATTGAAAACCGTCCAAGCGTTATTTTCGCGCCTTTCAAAGCTTCAAGAATAATTTCTAATCTAAGTGTCTTACAAAAATTCTGAACAAAGATTCCGAGAGAACACAAAATTTTGATTCTAACAGTGTTTTTAAAATTTCGCTAACTCTTGCAATTGATCTAAAAATGAACGAACATTTTGTCCAGAAACTTTCGCACAAGACGTTAGTTAGTTAGGATAAAATTCTATGCCTAAAATGGACCATGTTTGATTCGATATTTTTCGGTTAAGAACTTTTTCGACGAAAGTACTCATCGGCAAGAGTGGTAGCCGGCGAAAATTGTGTCTACCTATTTCTGAAATAACACAAACTGATTCAGATATGTTTACACAATTTCGATTTTTCATAGTTAGGACGACAGTGGCCGAAGGCTTTCTTCTTTAACTATATATATATTTCTCGTCGAAAAGAATAATTCCTGCTAATTACGAAGGCATAGAAAAGCTTATTTAAACACAATTTAACGCGTTTTAACGTGTTAAAAAAAAGCTTTTCTGCCTGGATCTTACAAATACTTCTTTTCGAAGAGAAATATATATACAGATATGCATTTCAAGAAGAAAGTCTTAATCCATGGTCCCGCTCATTAGAAGAAATTGACATTGTGCAAACATAGTATATGAACCTCTTATTGTGCTTTTGTGCACAAACGGTGCGGATAGGTGAACGTACAGTTCTTCTTGCTACTGGCAGTCACGCCCAGACCTGCATCCTCCTTTCTGATAGAATTCATGCAAAAACAAAAAACACAAGATTTATATTTGCTTAAACGATTTCGATTTATTCTAATGGAGGGAGCAGTCAATGAAGGCTTTCTTTTTTAAAAGCATAAATTTCTCTTCAAAAGAAAACTATTTCTACTAGTGTTTATACATGGTACGAAGAATTATAATTCACCAGAGACATGCACAGGGCAGGAGGATCCTGTTGTCCTGTCCTGCCCTGCCACCCGCTAGGACCAAAGTAGCCAACAGAATAGGCAAGGACAGGAGAAAAAATGATATCCTATGCCCGTCTCTGATTCCCACGTACGTATGTTTCTGTGTGTGCGTTTATATGCCGATCTACTGGTGCGAGTGTAGATGTGAATGTAGCTCTTCGTGCTACTAACAATTCCGTCTATAAATACACAGGCAGAAACACACACACACACACACACATATATAAATCTGTATTTTTCAGATTATACATTAATTCTTATAGACAGGTTTTTTTAAAGGTAAGTGTATGTATCGGAAAATAAGAATTTTGTTGTTTTTGTATAATGCATAATTTGTAGTAGCAATGGAATTGGGTAGAAACTTCTCCTAATCGACATTGGTTTGAGATTGAACGTTACTGTGGTACAGATAGCTACTTTTTCAGTTGCTGGGTAAGTCAATAATGACGAAATTGTGGATTTGATTTTCTTGTCAAGTAAAGGAGATTTTGGATAAACTATGACTTTTTATAAAGTTTATCAGAGGTCTTTGTGGTGAAGTTTAGCTAACAAAGAAATGAACTACACAATACACAACTTTGAGAAATTTATTACAGATCCAGATATCTGGATCCAGAAAACCTTCGGCAAAACTTTATAAAAGAATCGTTATTCATTCAAAGACATAGTCTCTTGGCAAAAGAATCAAATCCAGCATTTCAACATTACTGACTCTCCAAGAAATGTCACGTCAATTCTAATCAATTCCAAGTCGAGAATTAGTAAACACGTATTATAATTATCTATTCATTTTTGCTTTTCTGTTTAGCATGTACAACTTTATATGAGGTAGTCCCTTTCTGTTTAAATATGAACATTTCCTTATCGATTAGTCATATATTAGCTACTGTTGAGTGGTGAAGAAATCGTTAAACGTATATAGTGAAGTGGCCAAAATAGTGTTCGAAATCCATAACAAACCCTTGAGTGTTTTGTCTACCGATTGTAGGAAACCACTTCTCTACAGAAACAGAGCAGTTTGAATGCGTAGTGTACGAAATCTAGCACCAAAGTAGCGAAATAGTTATTATGCCTTTAGACGGTTTCATGGTGCTTTATCTAGAGTGAGAAATCCTAATCCAGCAACATTTTTAATCTTCATAATATTTTACTTGTTAATTCAATCTGGTAGCTTATATTTTAATAAAATAGTAGTGTTCTAAGATACACTGCTAGAAATGGTTACGACTCAAGTGACTGTCTACAAAAAGATCACGTAAGCATTTGTCATTCGAGCCGGTTGTTGTTACCACGTTTTTTATTTTTATTTTACACAAGTTCATTTTCGTTCGAAACCAAAAAATGATTGTATAGGTGTTTTTGTATTTTTTCTTTGTGTAAAATGAAATATGACAATGTATTAGAAGAATTTAATTAAATCCAAACTATTTGTTTTAAATTGACAGAAAAATAACATCCCTAGCTGAAAGTGACGTCCCGAATAGGCGCTGATGATTAACTTGATGTCTTCTAGCTTTATAAGGTCACATAAATATTCCAGGAACTTTTGAGAAACAAGGAAAATGTATTAATTACTTTCGGATACGATCAACTTTGGAATGAAGGTTTTTCAACAAATATCTGATGTTTTCGTTAAATGAACGGTGCATCTTCAATGATGCCTTACATGAGCGCCGAGGGTCGACTAGGAGATGATACTGAAACTTCGTGTGAGAAAAATAAGCTTGCGGAAGGTTTTGAGAGAAAAAAAGCTTTTCACTAGCCAGTCATACTCATGATTGAAGATGGATTCAAAATGCTGAGAACACTTATTTGTTGAAGCGCGATGTTATCTTCCAGAAAATGCTTAGCGAATCCATCGGATGAGTGCTACTTCTTCATCAAAATATTGAAATCCTTGACTTTTATTCTGTCTTTAATATAGACTGAACTGTTGAGATTGGTGAAAAACCAGAAAAGCATTTACGAACAGGTGAACTCAGCTACGAAATAGTCGAACGTTTGTGCGAGTATAAGTGCGATAAAACTCGAACCGTGCTTTCTTGTATTTAATCGCATAGTTTACTGAAAAACATGTCAAGAATCGTGCCAACCACGAAAATGGCCCAGAAGCTTGCTTTATCGTCGAAGCAGGTGAGTCGTATTGAAACTGATGTAAGACATGCCCATAATCTATTATTTAGGCTGTTCCTTCATTATCAAATTATAAAGCGAAGTCAACCGATATCTTTGCCAAGATGGAAGATATTAAGGAAATTCCATCGAAAAAACGATTGAAATCGTCTTCCACTGAAGAACAAAGATCAAAATCAGCACAAATTGAACCAAAACCGTCAGTAATTCGAAAATTTCCAGTAAAATGAATAAACTTATCGTTGAAGGGATTCGCACTGCTGTAAACGGTGTTTGATAGCGGCAGTTGTTTTTATTTCCGCCTCCGTTATTGTCTTGTGTGTCTTGCTTGCTGTTCAAATGTTGAACAAAACAGATGGCTCGAAAGGTTTGTTTAGAGGAGACGCTTCTAAAAATGTCCTGTTTGTCATAAAAGGTAACAGTGACGTTGGAACAACATCAACGAGTATCACCAATGGATCCTCGACTCTCAACATCTCGACTGGAATAAATACCACATTAATCGGAGGTGGATCTACCACTTCTGTCAGTAGTACTTCAAACAGTATGTTGTTTAGTGAACATTGTGCTTGAGCACTGATGTATGTCTTTTTGTTGCCAAAGAGATACTCCGTGGAATAGAGTTGAGCGAAGCTACGTCTTTTTATTTGAAAACGATGAGGTTTTTCTTCCCAAAACGGCAACTTTTCGGATAAAAATGCGTATGTTTCTGTTGCATTTATGAACTCTTTGTCGATTTCTAGGTAATCCTGTGTCGACCACAATACCAACAACTTCAGCTAACCTATCCTCAACAACCAGTAAGTGTTAGATTGAGGGTGGGTGTGAGGGTGGAGTTCTTCTTGTCAATGACAAACATTCTAACCAGCACATGCTCACCGGCCCTCACACCCTCACTTTTATTTAGTGATGATGGTTGTTAAAAACAATCTCACACTGCATATCACGCTCGTACCCACCTGTCTTCCAGAATGTGTACATCTTTCAGGACAGATATCGAAATCGTTAGTTCAGTTGATGTAAACATAATTCGAAACAATGAGACTATGTTATTCGCTTCCAGCACCTCATTTTGTAATCTTTGAGAGATCATTTAATTATAAGTGCTGTTTATTGTCTGAGCTGACAAAACTTCCATATGAATGTTCTCAAATAAAGCAAATTTATGTACTTTTCAAATAAATACTTTTAGTATCGGGATTCATCAATTCCACTAGTGTCTCGACAGTGAATGTTACAACAATGACACAATCATCAACGACAACACAATCACCAACTACCACACAATCATCAACCACGAGATGTAAGTGATGTTTCGGTTGTTTAGTATGTGTCGATAAGTTGAGTTTGGAATTTCTGGTGTAACAACATCACTCACGGGGTTGTTGTTCTAATGGATCTAAAATTATCAAAAAGATCTCGTCTGACGCCAATCCAAATTTTACAGCAATTACATACGTGCAGTAACTAGTGAGCGTGAAAATATTTCCACATCCACAGAAACTAATGATGCCTTAAATTAATTTTTTCTAAGCTGCGCGTATATTCAAAAGTTGCGCATTTTCTACTTTCACCCTAAGTAGGCATTAATAGGCTCAGGTGTTTGTACTGATTACTAATATGTTTTTATTTTTCTTTTCGAGAAAAGTTTTCTGGAAAAAATGTCCATCAATGAACTTTTATAAAAAATCGTGGAAGAACTTTTTTGTGTAAAAGTGAATGAAAAAGCTTTCAGCATTACCAGTTCTGTGATTTATGATTCAGTTTTTGGATTCCTGATAGGATGTTGGTGTGAATGGGCATCATCTTAAAATGTATACATTTGGAGGCAAGCCCCATATACATTTCATATCGAAGTTACACCGGTCGACAAAGTTACAACTTTGACAGAGACCTTGGCGAAGTTAATATATTTAATTCACTTATCAATAACTAAATTATTAAACTGAATATCCTATGTTTGAACAGGCGATCAAAAATAAAATTTAGCTACTAAATATTCATTTATTTAATAGTACTCTAAAATAAATGAATATTTAGTAGCAAAATTTTAGTTTTGATCGTCTATTCAACCGTAGGACAATCAGTTTAGTAAGTTATTTATTGATAAGTGAATTAAAAAAAACTTCGACAAAGGTCTCTGTCGAAGTGGTAACTTCGTCGACCGGTGTAATTTCGATACGACATACATATATATACGCACACACACACACACACACACACTTACATACATCCACGCGACATGCCTAGGTATGCCCACATTCACAAATTTTCACTCAATAGCAGCGACCTATGTAACTGATTAGCTAGCTTTCTTGCAGCAGAATATTTGAATAACTGTTGACGAGTGATTTTTGGTTTCGTTTTGAATTTTTAGTGCAAACAACAACGCAGATACCATTCAACTGCACAGTAGCGAATTACAGCCAGAATGCAACCACAGTAGTTAGTGGTATTTCTTCACCATATGGCCTCGCCATAGATTCATCAAATAATCTTTACGTTAGTGGCTCAACTTATCGTATATACAAGTACACCCCAGGCGTTAAGTCATCGAGCGCCGGCTTGCTTATTGCACCGCTAAACAATATTCAAGGATCAACGCTGAGTAGTCTACGCTGTAAAAAAAAAGGGCAGAATAATGAACGCTTGCCCTTGATTTTTTTTCTATAAACCCTTGAAGGGTTTATACGTGTGTCATATACCCTATGGAGGGTATATGAGTCGAAGG